ATAACGGTTCTGTTCCGGTTTTCGGTTCGGTTCGGTTCCGGTTCGACACCCTGTGTCCTGAGTCCCATCTTTCCTTGATCGTCGTCAGGATTCGTTAGGCTGTGGTGCTAGTAACCGGAAGTGAATAAGCCCATCGCCCCTCCGCTGCAGCTTCCTTGATCGAATGAGATCGGCGACAGGCCGCGCAGCGATGCCGACTGGTGTATCGACGGGATCGAACAGGAGCTTGAAAAGTGCTTTGATCTGCTGAGCTGAAAACCTCCGGAGAGAACGGAGGGAGTTCGCTAGCGTGTTCGAGAGCACGACCGGAAGCTCTTCGTTCCCTCTGTCACTCCGCACGTGACCGACGTGACTCGGAAGACGGCGCAGAAGTTGAAAGGTACCACAGACAATAATCTCTTTCATGAACAAGAGAACGCAAGCAAGCACGTTTTTTCTGTTCTTCATTCTAGAAGCGAGAAAGGCGACCACCCACAAGTTCCGAAAATTGTTGGACTGCCCCTTTAAACGCCCGAGGAATGCGGGGCTCGGGCGTTTAAACCTATCCACTGCTGCCTTGCACGTACGACACGTGACGACGTCGAAACCGGCAACCACCATGATGGGAGTTGAGTCGATGGCCATTCGCAGCGATAGCCATGGTAAACTGCGCCGCGTTATACTGTAGGGATCGTTTCATCGGGATGCACGGCGACATAGTAGCCCTCAACTCAAGTTAGAGAAAGTACCAGTGGCAGAGAAGGGATGCGGCCGCAAATTACTGAGTTTGACGGACGCATTTCGTAGCGGTGGGTGGCGGTACTTTTCTCACGTTATTTATGTTCGTGCACGCCTTTGAATCGGATTTGCCCGTTCGCGATGTGGATGCCCTTTTCTTTCGCTTCATCACGCCGTTTCCCCGCTTCGAGTGAAGCATCGGGGCTCCCAGCCCACTACGGGCCAGCATGTCGCGGCGCGATGCCGGTCGCGTAGGGGATTCAACTTGTGCCGTCCGTAACACGATAGGTAACCTTGGGTTGTTTACCAGTACTTCGAGAAATCGTAACTTTACTACGAGCGGCTTCTAGAGCCGCTCGTCATATAATTGTGGGGCGTGTAATGAAGCTTGTGTCACCGACACGACAGCCCTTCGCGTTAAAACATCATCGGCGGCATACCGACTTTCTGCTCGTAGCGCAACAGCACCAAGGCCAAAATAATTACGCACGTACTGGCTGAACGTCATCATCGTAAGCTCGGCACGGTTTTTCCAAGTTCCCATGTCAAAAACTAGGTTCCTCTGTTGAAAATACGGAGTCTGTCAGCGCATGTCTGGGCAGCTAGCTGCATCCTACGCATAAGCCCATTTGCGTGGTGTGATGTCTCCACTGCCAGCATGGTGCGGGGCATCGTCTTTCCCTAGCGTAACGTCACGTGCTAGGCATGTATAGACCAACTCATTTCACTGACGTCACGCCACTACGGTGGCGCTGCTGTCGGTACTGCGCATGCGCAAACGCTTCACTTCTCCTGAATTTGGTTTCTGCGTGAGCGCAGTGCCCACACCTGGTGTGGGCAAAGTGGAATAGTTTGTAAACACTATATTGGTGCATACAGTAATTGAGCTACTCTACGTTACCCCTATTATTAAAAAATAAAATAAATGTGCGTAAAGAGACTAACCGTTCTCGTTCCTCCTAGAGCACCTGTATTAGATGGAGCGCCCAACTGCTCGATCGGGGTCACATGGTTTAAGGGCCACGTTTGCAATACGAGCTGAAATGCGGTGACGAACGCGTTGATCGTCTGCGAACGTCTGCCTTTCCACCTGTTTTCCTCCCCAACAGGCGACAACGAAGCATATACGCACTTGTGACCAATTGGCGCGGGAGGAGTTCGCCATTAAATTGCAAACGCTCACCATGGTTTGAGAAGGACCCTCTCTACAATCTAGGCTCTCTAGCACCTCCCCCGACCACAGCGCCGCTTATTCAGAAGTGGTACCTCGAGCTGTTCATCTTCGGACATTTCGCTGCTCCCACTGAAGTTACTCCCCTATAAGTACTTATACTCCTCTTCAACTATGGTTATCGCAAGCTTTCGATGAAGCATCACTCCAGCAGCTATTCTTTAAACTTGGCAAAACAAAATGTTGGTTCAGTGACCAGCCGCGCATATTTGGTGAATGTCTCCGTCCGTGAAGAGCATAAAAACGGATTTCGAGCGACGAGGAGGCACAGGTAACGGGGCTTTCTAATCTCCACCGACCACTTCCGCACCTCCGAAATGGCCAATCAGGACATGCAGGGAATTTTCATTTTTTCATAGAATTTTCAGTCTCAATTTCGGTAAAAAGGGAAATGGTAATTTTAACGATTGCAAGGAACTACAAAATTTAACCGAAATTACGTTGAAAAATCACATGTAGCCCAATAGACCCACAGCAAAAATTTTGCAATTTAATGGCGCCCGTAAACACGTACCCCAGGCGAGCAGTTGAACACACTCTTACTTGAGGCTCTCTAGAGCCAGATGCCAGTGGTGGTCAGTCCTTTGGCCATGGTAGCCAAAATCCAGCGCCGTAACGATTCTTTGCGCATGTCCGAACGTAGTCGACAGCTAAGATTGGGATCACGTTCGAATCCCGGCACGCGCAAAGCGAACCATTACGGAACACTGCACTGACTGTAAAGGAAATCTCTCTCGGCAGCACAAACATTTTTTTTTCCTTTGCGCTTTTATTATTTTTGTGCACTAATTTCCTTTCCTTGAGTCCGAAGTGTTTACCGTTTAAGTTAATAAGAACATAAACTGACCCAGTAATTTTTTCTTCCTTTAAACAGGCGATTTCACGCGGCTTTTGTGGGAAAATGCGCGCAAAGTGGCTGTATGAGCACAGAAATCAGCTGCAGCGAAAGTAAGGGCTGAAAAAATGTAGGGGAATGTGCAGGGCTATTTTAACATTTTGCGGAGAAAAAGTGCCTCAAATAGAAAATGTCTGTACCCAAAAAAGGGAATTTTTGGACGTGGAATGCAACATCACCGGGGCAAGTGTTCGTCGAAGTAAAGTCAGAGTTGGACGCCCTACTTTCCGATGCCACCATGAACAACATTCTGGACCAACTCAGTGCAGTATTTTTTCCACAACCCGATGCCCCACCACACCCCGCAATCTACGAGACTACCCGTCACAACCTAGCAGACTTCTAGTATGAAGGCAACCGCCCCTTCTCCGGGTGAGAACACAATGCGGCAATCTATTATTGCCGACTTGGAAGCAGGCCTGGCCCAGATGGCGTCACCGTCAACATGCTGCGTAATGCACCCGTGAAGCCATCCTCCAGTGGTTTAATGGAATCTGGCACACAGGTCAACTCTCAGACGAATCGAAAACGTCATGGGTTACACCGTTACACCCATCCCAAAGCCCGGTAAACCTCCGACAGACCTCAAAAATGTGCGCCCCATCTCGCTTGCCTCCATTATGGGGAAAGTGATGGAACAGATGGATCAAGCCTGCATTCAGTGGCACGCCGAGCAGCTCAAGTGTTTCCACCCTACCCAGACCGGGTTTCGCAAGAATCTCGGCACCCACGACAGCCTCACTATGATTTTCAAAGATGTAACAGACTACCACGGTAACAAGGCAAAACTCTGAGTACTTGTCATGACCGACACCCGAAAAGCATTCGACAGCATCCCCCACAGCTCGGTCAGAATGGCCATGAAAGACCACGGCACCGTCAAACACAACATCAGTGTCCCGCAAGGAGCTCTCTCTGTTGCTTTTTAATATCGTCATGGCACCCCTCCTGTGGCAATTCTACGAGATCCCTGGCCTGCACGCGCCTGCGTATGCAGGCGATATCACTATCTGGACATACGACAGACCCCACTTCTGTGGATGCCGAAACCGCCTGCAGCAACGCATCTTACGGCGAGATGGTGTAGGGCAGTTTGTGGCGTCCAAAGGCACCCGCTTATTTCGAGAGGCTAGGTGATAGGACACACAGCAACGGCAGCCGCACAGGATTGGCTGGTCATAGAGAGTGACGGTGTGATGTAACACCTAGCAACCGAGGTGCAGTGAGGGACAGTGTGGCTAGGGCATACTTGGGCTGCTGGCGGGGCACCACAAAGTGGTGGGCCAAGGTGGGTTAATATTTTGTAATGAGCCATCCCCAGACTGTCACCGTGAAGCTGCGCAAACGGGGAGAGGGGAGGGGGGGGGGGGGGGGGGGGGGCCAGGGGGGGGTTAACACGTGCTCCTGTGATACACCCGCCGTCCCCCACTGCGCGGCGCTGAAATTCACCAGCAATGTTTGGTTGCTAGGTGTTACGTCGGAGAGTCGTTCCCTATAACCAGCCAATCCAGTGCGGCCTCCCTTGCTATGCGTCCTATCGCCGATCCTCTCGAAATATGCACCCCGCCACCATCTGTTGTTGCTTTCAGAAGGTGTTTCCTAGCCAATGAAAACTTTGAATACCCCAAATGCTCCAAACCATCCAAGGTCAGTGCATGTATCAGGGTACTAATGCCAACGCATTAAAAGTGATAGTAGCTGTAAAAGTAAAAAAAGCTACTTCTTTTCCCATCCTACCTTCACAGCTCACAAGGTGCAATGGCCATGTTATCAACAGCTTGAACTGCTTGATCATAGTTATCAAATTGTAGTAGAGCTCGTTAGTCAATTAAACAATGTCTTCTAAAGTGTTTTTAATAAGAAGATATTGCCAGAAAATCTCTCTCTATGCTTTAATGCTCTGCATGGCTATTACTAGACCCATCGCCATTGCTAACATTTCTAAATATAGCACCGTGCAGCGAAAATTTCATTCAATAAGTTTGATTGAACTAGTTGAAAATGACACTATATTTATTTGCCTGTGTAACAGACAAAGTTAGTGCAGTAACGATCCTCAGTCCTAGTTCACTCCAACCATGTCGTACGAGCATAAACCATACCTAAAAATAAGACTCAACTAAAAGAGCATTCTATGAACCAATAACTAAGGCTTACCTTCTCGCTGTCCGTGGTATTTGAAGAGCCAAAGGATGCCACCGACACCCGCTCCTGGAGGTCAGTCAGCCCTTCGTCCTGAGAGGAATCTTCCAAGTCCCTGCAAAAGGAAACATATCTAGACTTAGTGTGGAATTCAGGAAAGACAGACATCCTGCAGAGATGTCAGCACACAACCAACTCACACTCTCAAATTTAATTTTGAAGAAGGTTATGGACAGGACAGCTAAAGGATGAGTACCAGCAATCCTCTTTAAAAGAAAGATGTGGGTCGAAAAACGGTAATATTTTGCAAACAGATGTGATTTTGGGTTTTATGACGTTTTGTTATTTTTAAATCCCTATGTGTGATATATAAAAATAATTCCTACCGGTTATGATCACAAAATTAGTCAAATAGACATTTGAAGACCTACAGGCAACCCAGAACGGCACGAATTTGAGCCATGTTTCTCTGTGTAGTTCTTCAAATTGTGACGTTGCCCGCCATCACATTTACGTTGACAAGTCGGCCTAGCCGTCTTCTCTTCATTGCAGTTTTATGGAGCTTCAATTTCTCACGGAGATTTATTAACAAAACATTATTTATCACACCACGAAAGAGTATAGCTGCACATATATGGTAACATACAAACACATTTCTTCTTTTCATGTAACTTTGGGGAATCTTCACAGTTTGCGCATAAGAATTTCTGTTCTTAATATTGTCCTATCACAACCAAATTTGGAATGTGTATACTTTAGAATAGGCAGAATGCAACTATCTAGGTTTGGGTAGAATGTATATTTTTTTTGTATGTATAAAATTTTAAAAAACTTTCAGTAAAATGGCTTAGTGGGCTAGTTGGTACATGTTTAAGTGAAAAAGTGCCTAAAAATATGTGGACACGAGAAGGAACCCAGGCGAAAATTTCTAACTGGGACCAGTTGGCACCTCAACTGGCTTCAACTGGGACTAACTGGTTCCAACTGGGAATCAACTGGGACCAATAGGAGTCCAACTGGGACCAGCTGAGGGGTCAACTGGTTTCAACCATTCCCAGCTGGGAGTCAACTGGTTTGACTCCCAGTTGGGAATGGAGTGAACTGGGACCAGTTAGGGAAGGAACTGGTTGGAGCGATTCCCAGTCAGACTTCAAATGCCTTTCCCGTACCCAGTTCACACGGGACAACAATTTTGACAAGTTGGGGGTGCATTGACCTTTGCTAATGAAGAAAACTAAAACACTTACATTTTTAGATTTATACAAATAGGGGAATTTTTAATTACTGGGTACATTTATGTATTTATAAAAATAATATAAAAATTTAATTAACTAAATATTTTTTTTAATTGGAAAATATAATTAGTGACAAAATCTGTTCACCTAAATGAACATTTAGTGCATTATTAAAATATATTAAAGCATTTATTTAAATACCGACAGCATTTTCTTTTTTTTCTTTGAATAAATAAATTTATCTTTTGGCCAATCAGACCGCCGTGGCACGCGAGACGCGGGTGCGGGTTAGTGGTACGCGCTGTCGACAGATGACACTACCTATGCTGACGCACGCCCTTGCGCACGCCGGAGTCGGTCGGACGCAGCCGACGGCCGACGCGGCCGACAACCAACGCGGTTGACGGCCAACGCGGCCATCGCCCAAGTTGGCGTCGTCCAAGTTGACGTCGTCATAAAAATGTCAAAACTACAGCTGCGCTTCTTTGGACCTAACTGTACACACACCATGGTGGCGGCGGTGAACTTCGAGGATGGAAAGATGCAGTTCAGCGATCGGAGGGCACCCTGGAAAGACCGGACGCACATAGGCCGGACGGAAGAGAAAACGCCGCGGAGAGCACAATGGCGAAAATGGCGGGAGGTCTACCTCGAAAATGTTTGACTGTTGTGACAGAGATTGCAAGGTGGGAGCGCTACCGCATCCTATCAGGACTTCACCTGCGCAACGCGGGATCACGGGTGAGCACCTTTCTTCACGCGATGGGGAGAGAAGCTGAGGACGTCTTCACTAACAGACGCCAGCGGCCGATCTTCCTTCATCTCATGAATACTACCTCTGAAAAAGCGATTCAACCGTCGCAAGCAAGTGGCTAAACCCGGAGCGTGCATGTCACCGAACCTATTATTTAATTTCATTCGCCAAGTTTTTGACTATAAAGTCTTGTCAACCTTCCATTTTGTGCCGTGTTTCATTGTTGCTGGGGTTGGTACCAGCGGTAACTGGGACCAAATCCAACTTGGACCAGTTGTAACTGGGACCAATTCCAGCTGGGACCAACTCGAACTGGGACCAGTTGGACAACTCCAACTGGGACCAGTTGCAACTGGGAATTGTTCCATAAACCAGTTGCAACTGGGACCAGTTGGTCCCAGTTGAAAATTTTCGCCTGGGAAGGAATAAGACCAAGCGCTACTTATAACTAAATGTTTTTTTTTTAAACACACTCCCCACTTACACACCCAATCAGGCTCCCGACACAAATAAGCAAACTCATTCTCGGTTAGGTGCACCGACGGTGCACCTACGCAGCTATCCTCGCCCTTCACTGTTATGCAGTAGGCCTCAAATAATTCTCTTCAAGTTTTATTTTTAAATATTCATACAATTTTCATATCTTCAAGATTAGGCGCACAGGGGCACCATAACAGTGAATGGTGAGACTGCCCGATGGGGAGCTTCTGACAGGGCATGCTCATGTGCCCTGTCATTCATACAGCTCCCGGTTTGCCCAACGAACGCTCTACCGCAAGTCATGAGTATTTCGTAGACACGTGACGTTGCACAATCAACGTACTGTGCTGCATGTTTCTTAGTACATGCCTCATGTACTAAGGCATGTTTTAAGAAACATGCAGTGCAGTGCGTTGATTGTGCAACGTTAGTTGTCAACAAAATACGCATGACTTGCGGTAGAGCGTACGTTGGGCAAACCGGGAGATGTATAAACGACAGGGCATGTGAGCCTGTCCTATCTGTCAGAGGCTCCCCATTGGGCAATCTCGCCATTCATTGTAATAGGTGCCCCTGTGTACCTAATCTTGAAGATATAAGAATAGTGAGTGTGTTTTCAATAAACGTTCAGTTGTAAGTAGCACTTGGTCCTGTTCCTTCTTTCTCATGTCCACATATTTTTAGGCACTTTTTCACTTAAGAAACTTTTGTTAGACATTGAAATGGCATTTTTGCTATTTTGAATTATTCTAAAATAAAAGAAGTGTCGCGCACATTACAGTCAAACCTGTGTATAACGAACAGCAGGAAATGCTACGGTCAGTTCGATATAGCAAAAACCATTTACAACGAATTTCCACGATGCGTTCGTTATAAGGCGAGAGTTTCTCTTTTTTTCTCATCTCTTCGCTTCCGCCTTGCAAACAACACGCTGGAATTTTTTTTTTTTTTTTTGCATGTGTGCAGATTTTGTTTTTGTTTTAGCTTATTTTCCCTTCTCAATCGCTTCTCTTCGTGGGAAATCGCTTTCGGATGAAAAGTTCTTTTTTCTGTGCGTGTGTGCACAGTGTTTTCTTTTTAGCTTTCTCCCCCCTTCTATATTGCTTCTCTTCGCTCAATTTTGTTCGCAGGTTGAGCTTTTGGAATTTTCTTTCTTTCCTACTTTTTTTTTTGGGGGGGGGAAGGGGGGGGGGGGGCAGGCTAAAAGTCAATTGTTTGCTTGTTTTTAGAAGCCTTCCCGGTGGGAAAAGTTTGATATAGCCAATGTGTTGTTCGTTATAAAAAGTACTTTTTACATGCATTTTTATTTAAATTTTATGTGAGTTCGATATTGACAATAATTCGCTGTATGTGGGTTCGGTCTAAACGAGTTTCACTGTACCTTTATTGCCCATTGCACTCAGTGGTTTAAAAGGAGCGAATTAGTTTATTTTACTATGCTTTTTTAAGTGTGTTGCCATGCCTCACATAGGCACAAGAACATGTTTTTTTTCTGCATGCACATTGCATCGAGACCCTAGAAAAAAACATGCTACAAATCTAACACCAGATTTATAAAGAGAAGATTAAGTACCATAAACTTTAACGATTTCAGTTCAATATCGTAAACAAGCAAAAAGAAAATTTCCCTAGTGCATGTCCCCTTAAGGAGACAAAGCCACTACTTGCCTGCTTGATCGGTTGCTGAACAGCTTCGACGTCAGCTTACTGCTCTTGTTGAGGTTAAGGGTGGAGAGAGCAGAGTTGAAGTAAGTCTCCTGAATCACCTGCCGCAATTTTTTCACCCACGTCTGCTTCGTTTCCAGAGAGGAAGCCTGGAGATAGACACCTTGCATTATTTTAACTGTAGAGTAGCTCAAAATGCACTTCTAAAATAATGCATGAAAACAAAAACATATCCAGAATTCTGAAAACCACCGAAAGCATCTAAGAACATCTAAACCTGGTTCTTGGTTGGTACCCCTTTCCCCATAATGTGTCACTGATGTTCAAGTTCTGCAGGAATGCAATTTCATCAGAGCTTGTACATTTTTTCACCAAATGCATACACAGCAGCATGGTTACGAGCAAAACAGTGCAAGTCTTGGTACTTGGAGAAAAGCTGAATCAAAGTTTCTCTACTTTTGCGTCACTACAAACTTCTAACTACCTTAGTGGTTATTCGTGGACCCTCATTGAATAGTTCATACGACGTGTTGCATACATCGAGGAACTTACGTCGCCGTAAAGTTGGAGAAAATTAAAGTTGTCAATCCAGTGGAACATAAATTACATTTATTATCTTTGCCATCACGCAAACGGGCCTACACAAAGCGGTCTCGTAGTGAAGAGCGAAAAAACAACACATATCTGTACACATATCTGTGGCACTTACAACTAGAAATCAGCATTTGTGGGAACTCTATTATAGCTGCAAAGACATTTGGTCCCACAATTTCAACCCTCTTCAGTCCCTTACCTTACCTGGTGGATCTAGTATCCCCAAATCAGTGCGGACCCCTGGGGGTCTGCGGGCCAGTTAGGCAGTTACTGTGCTGAACAGTTCAAGCCTATACGTGCCTCCAGGACAACTTGCATAGGAATATAGTAAACTTTCGTTAATTCGACCTCGACGGGACCTTGAAATTTGGTCCAATTATCCGAATGATCGAATTAAAAAGAGGACAGAAAAACGGTTAAAATTAAACTTTCTTTTATTGTTCAAAGTACTCACCGATGATCTGCTGCCGTCTGTGCTTAAAACGCGTGTCTAAAAGCATGCTCCGGAGAGCGGCGTAACTAAACGTTGTGTCCAAAAAAAATTGCGCACTAAAAAAAAAAAGAAAAAGAAAGCTTTACGAGCCAACTTTGGCGCCGGCAGAACCGTCGGCGACAGGGAAAAATAACAACAAAAAAGGAAAAGAGAACCCGCGCTTTTCGGCGCTCAAGATGGACCACACACGATGCTACAGACAAGCGCTTTGAGAGCGCGCGCTGAGAAAGCTTTACGAGCCGACTTTGGCGCCGGGCGGACAGACCGTCAACAACAAAAAGCAAAAAAAAAAAAAAAATAATAATAAAAAATAAATAAATAAAAGAAAAAGAGAATTACGAAAATAATCCCTGGAGAAGGGCTACAAGAGGGGCAAAGAACAAACACAAATCTCCAAACACAGCTAGGTGACTGGCGTGCGAACGAAAAAAATCCGCCTGCTCCGGGTAGGGTGCCTTGGTCCGGGTATCGAACCCGGGACCTCTCCATTACAGGTGGAGCGCTCTACCAACTGAGCTAACCAGGGGTTAGACGTCAGTAGAGCGAACAGGTTTTATCAGCTGCCACCAGTCTAACACCAAAAAGGGTGAAGCTTGCAATTTTAAGGTTATGATTATAATGTAATTAAATGCATAGGTGCAAGCGAGCTGGACAAGAATGACGAAAATAATTCCTGGATAAGGGGAACAAGGGGACAAAGGACAAACACAAATCTCAAAACACAGCTAGGTGACTGGTGCGCGACCGAAAAAATCCACCTCTTGTTCCCCTCCTGCAGGGATTATTTTCGCCATTCTTGTCCAGTTCCCTTGCACCTACGCATTAAAATTGCAAGCTTCACCCTTGTTGGTGTTAGGCTGGTGGCAGCCGATAAAACCCGTTTGCTCTACTGACGTCTAACCCCTGGTTAGCTCAGTTGGTAGAGCGCTCCACCCGTAATGGAGAGGTCCCGAGTTCGATACCCAGACCAGGCGATTTTTTTCGGTCGCGCACCAGTCACCTAGCTGTGTTTGGAGATTTGTGTTTGTCCTTTGTCCCTCTTGTTCCCTTTCTCAAGGGATTATATTCGTCATTTTTGTCCAGCTTGCTTGCACCTATGCATTTAATTGCATTATAAAAAAAAAAAAAAAAAAAAAAAAAAAAAAAAAAAAAAAAGAGAGAATTTGCGTTTTCCGGCACGGAAGATGGACCTCACACGATGCTACAGACAAGCGCTTTGAGAGTGCGCGCTGTCTTCGCGCTTGACCACGCGCTATGTTCTCCGTGCTACTCCACGCCAGATTGGCGCTGGCTCGTGTCATTCGCTACAATTCATCTCAACGGCGTAGAGGAGCCAGAAAATACTTGCGCACGTTCGGCTTTGCAGCGATGGGCCCGTGTTTCGCCCTACTTTGGTGGTTTTTCTGCCGTCGTGCCGTGCAATGTGAGCCAGCGCGCATTCGCTCGGGACGAATTATTCAATGCGGAGTCAGCGCTCGCCGGGACATTTGAGCACGATAGAATTAAACGAAAATTTGAATTAACCGAGGTCTAACGAAAGCTTACTGTACCACCAATGCTTCCAAATATTTTGAACAGTCAAATAGCAAATACCTTTAAAATAATCTTGTTCTCAGATGTGGGTCCATGCTCTGTCCAAACAGCTGTCCAGACGGCAAATTTGCACTCGTCACCTTCAACATGCTCTGTGATGCCCACCTCAGAGGTCTAAGTAGAAAAGAGGCCATGTGTATCAAACTCATAAAGATCCAGACTGGTGCTGGTGTATGGCAGCTAGATATGCACAAGTATAATCACCATAAGTTTCTGTTTGTAGACATATTTGACCTTCCCATTGGGGTCCTTCATCTCCTTGCTGAAGAGCAAGTACAGCTCAAACAAAAAGATGTGCCGCTCACGACCCTTGCGAATGATCGCCCGTGAATCAAACACTTGAAAGGAGTCTTGCAGCACCACCTCACCCAGCTGGTCGAGAGACACCTAGAAAAAAACAAAGGAATGCCGATTTCACCCTTTGGAATCTACAAAACTGGAACTTTATCAGTGCCAAAAGAGACTCACATCACAGCCATCAAGTAGGCTTAAATGCATGGCATCATTGGCCTTCTTTGGTACATTCAGCATGACTTCCAACCCATCCTGGAAGATTGTACAAATATGTTACAACACAAATAACCTATCCTTATCTGCTCTGCATCAGCCAAACATTAGTTTAATACTACATTTGCCAGCTGGGTACAGAGCAAGAGACTGCACTCCACACGCTTGAGGGTTCTAGTGCCCCCTAGAATTTATAAGGAAGCCCTAATACAAAAACTCACCCGGATTTCCCCCTGCACACCGTCTTCGCAGCACGCTAGGAGGTCCTTCAGCAACAGCTGATACTTTGTTATCCGTTGAACTGGCTTGATCAGATAGGCTGGGATTGGATGGGGAACTCCATGCTTGTGTTGAATTTCCTGGAACAAAATGAAATCACACCCAATCTTTAAAATCATAACAGGTCAGTTGACACTACTTCATCTCATTCTTCTATTTTCGTATTAAGGGGGGGGGGGGGCCATTTGGGTATTAGACATGGAACACAAATGCCATGCAACTAGGCAGTTAATTGGCCAGATTGTACATTCCAGAAATATAAAATTTTGGAGATTTAGATGTGAAACCAACAAAAGATGTTTATGGTTAAAACAGCACGAACAAGGACACAGGACAGAGAAGATGCACAAATGTCATTCTTGGTTTCAGGACGAATTCATACGTCACGACCAATCTAGACCGCCTGGGAATCAAACATACAAAAGAAATCTCGGTTGCATTACACCAATACCACAGCATGTAATCCACTAGATTACGAGCAGTTCGATTGAGATTTGAACCCGCTAAATGGGGAATCGTGATCTCCCACCGTGCCTCAGAGCTACCGAAGCAACACATACAGGTGTTTAATTTTAAATCTAACAAATTTTTTAAAAAAAATGGGTGATAGTTACATGCGTGTCGTCTTCATCATGTATTTATCAGGCTCAGCGGACATTAGATGATGGAATACCCGTCACGGTAAGTTTGTCAATATAAGAAAAATGTGTTAACTTTTCAATTATTGGTCTTATTGGATAAGGTTCATCTAATGTCTGCTGAACCTGATAACTATATGGTGAAGACGGCATTCGTGTAACTCATTCTCGTTTTTTAAGGAATCTGTTTGGATTTAACAGCCTGCATACCTTACAGAGGAAACCGCGCACATGACAAAGATTACCAATGTGGAACTATTTCTTATGTCTCTGTCCAAGAAATTTAAAAGGAAACTCCCCCAAGCGGTTCTGCATTTGAGAAAAAACACTTAAATCGTCTTCATTCGGCCTCCAGGATCACGAATATCTAGATTATTTTTCAATTTGGTGCGGAGGCTGCAGAAAATATTTTAAGGCGAAAGCCTTACTTGTCCCATTGCACGAAAAAGTGGCATCATTGTGCCCGAAGGATGGCCATAAAAATATCATCAAGCACACGCCGCTCAATCGTATGCTCAAGGATGACGCCGTCCTTGAGGTCCTCTAGGCATCGTCCTTAAGGTCGTCCTTGAGGTCGTCCTAGAGGTCGTCCTAAAAGTTGTCCTAGATGCCATCCTCTAGGCGTCGTCCTTGAGGTCGCCCAAAAGGTCGTCCTCGGCGTCGTCCTAGAATCCGTTCTTGACGTCCTATACGTCGTCCTAGATGCCGTACTTGGCGCCGATCTCTAGGATGTCATCCTAAACTTTAATATGTGTAGAAACATTACTCAAAAACATTTCACCCGCAGAACTATAATGCTTTCGCCTTCCTACACGTAAGCAGTCTTAAGTGTCCCATAACTTTTTTAAAGTACCGTTGAAGCCCCTCGTTCCTGGAGCATGACGTCATATACAGAGTTTTTGGAATCTCTGCTCTCTCGCATCTTCAGCACCTATCAAAGCTAGTACACACACTCTAGCTATTTTCAAAAAGGTCAGAAAAAGACGTCATGACTGGTGGCAGTGCGAGGGAATATACCTGGCAAGCTTGCAATTGCACGCGCTGTCCACACGAGCGACATGCGCTTGGTAGCCGAAAGATCTGCGTATGATGTAACAATTGGTGGGAGGTTTTTCGTGTTTTCTTGCGTTAGTTACATCTTTTGGAAAAACTAACGTGATATTCAGATTCACGGGATAAAAATACTCGAAATTCGCCTCTAACTCGTCTTTTCCAAGAGCCTTTTTAGCTCCCCTTTAAAAGCCACGTGAGCATGAAAGCAAGAAAGAATGGAACTAACCTCAAAAAATGACCTGGAATGTTGAATTAGCAGGGCATTCGATTCCGGTTTGTTCTTGCAGTACTTGACATATATCTCAAACTTCTGGGCCTGGAGGAAAATGACTGCATTAGACACAAGGGCCCACTAACGGTCTAAGAGCCACAAGAAGTGGAAAGTGACTCACCCATGTGACAAAACAATGTCCAACGTCTTCAGGCATTGTTTCATACTTCTCAAGTTCCTTCAAGAAGACACTGTGAAAAAGCAAAAAGCTAATAAACTGACTGCATCCATATTCAATAACATTCAGAGTGTATAATATCTGGGCTTTATAAGTTGTCTGTTTGCAATCACAAAAACACACACACAAAAAAAAAGACTATGATACTAAGTGGTAGGAGAAGGCAACTACAGTCGACTGGATAATTCGAAGCTCACAGGGACAGCGAAACGGTTCGAATTAAGCAAACTTCAAATTAAAAAGACACACTCTAACTGCAAGCTTTTTTCATTTATTCAGTTTCCCAGGAGAAGTTGATCTTTGCACTTCGCTAATAAAGACGCACAGCGATGACTATGCTCTGCAAATTGCAAACTTTTCTTGGGGCGCCTTCAGCAGTTTCCTCACCAAAAAAGATGTGAAAAAGTACTCTGTGGTGCTACAAGCAGTTTCCACATCAGCGGCACTTGGCCACTTGGCACAGAATGCAACATGATCGTTCCTAGCCCTAACCAATTGCACAATTTCACTGTCCGAAAGCAAACTGCAGACCATGACACGTTTGTGAACATCAATAGATTCGACAGACAAAACATCTCATAGTAGTTCCCAGCCACTTGCTTTGGTGGCGTCATTGCAGTTTCATGTGCGGGCCCGCGTGTTCAGACGCTCATGCATATTTTACACATCAATTCGGTCCAACCTATCGCCGCTGGTAAAAGTGCAGATTTGCTTAAATAATTTTGTGTATACTGCTGACATATTTTCAGAAGAGCTTGTCGTAACCTTTACAGATGAGTAATTTTTGCATAGAATTGCAATGTGTTAATATGTATACAAGTAGAAATAGAGGGAGAGAAGGAGACAAGAGCGTGAGGAGATGTCAGAACACCGAGCTCTGGTTGGAATGATTGGTGGGTGGACACAAGGCTAGCTGCCTTTGTCTCCACTCGCTGTTCACACGCGTTCGAATGCGACCACCGAATGTCAAACGGTGGCGTTCCAATTTCGAACAGTGAGTTGACAAAGGCAGCTAGCTTTGAGTCTACCCACTAAACATTCCAACCTCAGCTCCGTGTTCTGACATCCCCGCATGCTCTCATCTCCTCTTCTCCCTCAGTTTCTCCCCACATATTGTTTTGGTGTAGTTTCCCTTGTACATGCCACCATACTGTGACCGACTGGTTGGTCTGGGGCAAGAGACAAATAAAGCATTATTTTATTTATTTTTTATTTTAGGGCTAGGTAACGCCTCAAATCAAAGCTTTGTTGGCCATACGTGCTGTGCGGAAGCACTTGCTTCTGTAGCATGGGTGGGATTGACGCCATGATGTGCACACCTGCAGCCATGCTTGGCTTGGTTTCACTTATCTTGGCTGCTTAAACTCGTGAAGGCTGTTCTCAAGCTCTCACTTGTTCATTTATAAGCTAATTTTAATCTAGCTATATTTATGGACTGTGACCTCAGAAAGTCTAATGCCTTGGGATGGCAAGCAAACGACGGATTTGACATAAAATTAGACCTATAGAGATTGCAAGCTATATACCTAAGTGGATTTACAAATCTTCCTATATGCAAATAATCTTCAATCTTGAATTTGAAAAAAAGAATCGCCAATAATGAACACAGGTTGTCAGGGCATCTCTGCCTAACATTTACTCTGCTAACAGTCACAGTTTAATTTTGACAATTTTATTGCAGTGTAGATATTAGCAGTCACAAAGTTTCCGTTTATTTTTAAACACACCAGGCACACGCATGCACCATCTCACTTTGAAAGTGTGCTTTTCTCCCAAGCATGCAATTACAATATTCATACTTTTCCAAGTGTTGATTGCGGCGGTTACCCTGTTGAGTGTGCCTCTTACTAAGCACCATTGCACTGTAGAGAAGCAACACCTGCGGAACTCACTTTCGCGGGTGTTGCTTCTCCGCAGTGTACTCGAGCTCCGTAAAAAGCGTGCTCAACGGAGCTAACCCACCGCAGAGCCACATATAGAGTTTGGCCATTCATTGGGAAGTATAAGAGGAAAATGAGGAGGCACCATTGGCCAAAAGTGGGCTGGGTGTGTTACATAGTACCTTCACAAATTCAAATGTGGCCAACCAGAAGCCGCGAATAATACCCTGGCGGTGGTCGCGAGAAACGAAATTAACAAGTGCGTCGGAGTAACTCTCGGTGACTGAAAATATGTGAGCACGTGACCACGTTCATGCAAAATCATGGTAGAAGATATTTAAAGATATAAAAGATATAAGAAGTGTGGGTGACTATACGTTTCAGCTTCCGTCCGAGCGCAGCCAAAGCTACGTGTGGCCGGAGCCAATCACACGCCGGCAATAGGTCACGCGATCTCGCCTGCACTTTTGTATCACTCCGCTGCACCGCTGAGTGTCCGCACTGCCCGCGCTCGCCGCGTATTTCGTCTGCTACGGGTGTATCAACGGTATCGTCTGCTACAGGCTTAAAAAGTGCCCTTTCACGTTCTGAAATTTAGTCACATGGGATGTCAGTATGTAGGCTGGCCGCTGGCGTCTGTGTCCGAGCTTTCCACCTGTTCAGCATTTCGGCATAGTTTCGAGATGTAAGTACCCATTGCAAGGTGCCCGATGACCCGGCCGTGAATATTTCCTTGTATTGTCTTGATATACCAGGGCTCAAGGCGCAGTCCTTTCCACCAGCTTCTTGGCGTTCAAAGTGATCAGCAAGTAAAGGCGTGCCCTGATTTCGCCGTGTATCAGTGAATTGTAGTGGCCCGGACGCTTTTCTTGTTTACAACGGATTCGCGGTACATTGCGGCCGGAGCCTCCTGCTGAATTTGAAAGTAGACAATCATCACGACCTCTTTCGCCTGACGCTCAAACATGCTTTTGCGAAAGGACGTTTTGAAACGACTCGGTAAGGAAAGCAGCGGAGCATATGATTCGGCCATTATGAGAACGAAATAACACAGAAAAACCGAGCGCTGCAGCCGCGTTGCCAGCGGATGTACGTGTTTTCACCAAACCATGTGCATTTCCATATATTAATAAAAACATTAACTTCAGATATTTAATTCCTTTAGTTCTAAATAATTTCTCAGCAGTACACATCTGGAATATTGTGCAATGTTTACGCACAAAACAATAAAAAAAAAAAACTTTTGCAGATTACTTTGTGGTGCGTAGTAATGCCCTTCTCGAAGTTACAAACCGTCCCTCAGCCTTTGGCTGCGCTCGGACGGAAGCTGAAACGAAGTATAGCAGAACAATCAACGTAATCCGTATGCCATGCACCGGGGACCGGGAATCTGCCGTCCGAGCAGTCAGGCTCCATCCAAGCAAAACAGAGTTTGAGTGCCATGTTCGTTTCTTACATCTTTTTGCATGATTATAACCTAAACATCACATGCACCATATTTTCAACCATGAAGAGTTACTACATTTAACTCTTACGCACTTATTAAAACTGTTCCTCGCTACCACCGCTAGGGGATTATTTTCGGCTTCTGGTTTTCCAAGAGATCATGTCAAGCCCTGTATCTGCGTCTTGCACACACCCTAACCCTGTCCGTTCCTCCCATTGACCAAGCTCTCTCTATGTACGGCTCTGACCCGCTGCGATCAACACTTCGAAAAATCTGAATATTGCAGTTCATCTCAAAGCGAATATCAAATAGTGTATCATTTGAAATTTTTAATATTTGCACAACACTACCCAGAAGTTAAACTTCGAATTACCACACATTTTTTTCCCATAAACTCCTGTGTATGATTGCAGGACTTCACCCCTGCTTCGAATTAACTGAGAAGTGACTGTATCTCAGAACACAAATGTTCCCTGTACTAGAGGAAGAGTTGCCACACAGACCCTATAAAAAGCAATGAAATGGCATTAAAAAAGCTTCATATGTCTCTAGTCCAACTAGCACTTCATCCAATGTCGCTTGGGTATGAATGTAAGCGAGTTTGAACTCTTGCTTCCCAGTGACATGAATATGCTGAAGTTTGTTTTGTGTTTGCCTGGTTCCTGGGCACACTCTAAAATGTAAAGCCTACCTGTTATGGAACTCATAAATCTCTTCCATGTTTCCGAACAAGACGAGCTCTTTTCCAACAATGCCAGGAGGCCTGCTGATGTCGGGATTTTTCAGTTCCGCCATATATGTGTGGATGCACGTCTCCAAGTCTTTGACGTAACTTCGCTCCGTCTGCAGCAGCTCAGCCATTATGAACCTGCACAAGACCGACAGCTGCTTCAGAACATTGGTTACAAACTATCAAGTCACCTTGCTCCATCTCTTCAAAATGATGAGGAAAGCATTCCTTGGATAAAATAAGCCCCCAAAAACACCGTCCAAATTTTGCAAAGCCAAGGAAACTATATCCAGGGTAACATAATCTTTGAAAAATACTCTCTGAATTTTCCTCAAAATTAACTCCGAAAGCACCGAGCCCTAGCTACATTATGCAAACAAGATGAGATGCTTACTCCTTTCTTCGGGCTGACTTGCGCTTCTCTTCATTCAGCTCCTTCACCGTTGACTCCTTGACCTTGCTCTCCAAATTAGGGTCGCTGTTCCGGTCCAGGGAAAGCTCTTTGGTTTCCTGAGAGATCGACAACAGATTTGATTTAAGGAAAGAGGTACACGAAGCGAAGAGGGTCGCAAAAAAGTATCACCGCAGCAAAGGGATGCCCACCTCAACCTGGATCCCAAGCTTCCGCTCCAGCTGACTCCGGTACTGGTCCATTCGGAGGCTGAAGTCCTTGTACCCTTGATCCACGGCGGCTACCCAGCACTTGATGGCACTAGCGTGAGCATGGCCGCGCTCGACAAGACTGTCGGCAAGCTGCAGGAGCAGACGGACCTTCTCCCTTGTCTCCTGCAAGCGGCCACGCAAAGCTGTCAAGCAGGGGCAGCCGGGCACAATCGGACCTTAATGCAATTTCGGTTAGGGTATAATTTCTCACTCACTTTAGCATTCCCCTTGAACTCGTTGTGTTCTTTGAGTAGACGCTCTGTCTCTTCCCGGCTGTCACCAACACTGTTGTGGCTGGTAAGGTAGTGTTCTCCAGTGTCTTTGATCCACCCCAAGGCCTGCACAAAAAAAGTTGATGTCAGGGTAACACAAACCTAGTAATGAAATGAACAGATGCAACAAAGGGAAAGGAATACGGATGTTTGAAGTAAGTGATTAACCCCCAAACCACGTGCTGAAACAAGTGCCACCTATGCATAACATATACATAATTTCAAGAAAATTAAAGAACATTTATTGGAAATATCTGCTCATAACCTCATGGATGCATACTATAAAGGGTGTCTTTTCTAGGCTTTGCAGATTATTTATATAAAAAAAACGTCATGAAAATTACACTAATGCCATCTGTGAAGGTGAGTTATACAGCCAGGGGGAGATAATAAATTAATGAACAGATACTAGTAGTTAATTATCAGACTTAATGTGATGATTAGCTCCCTATATTATGTCTCCCTGGCCATATAACTCACCTGCACAGACCCGGTTACTGCAGCTTCCGCAGGATTTTTTTAACAAGACAAAGCCTAAAAAAAAAATGAAAAAAAAAAAAGAAAACATCCTGTATATCTTGACTGGAAGCTATAACATAATCAAGCTAAACACATAAAAAGGGAATGACCCCTCCCCTATCTACGACTCCACTTTGTAGGTAGTGTACATAAAGTAAACATGAAAAAAGTTGAAAGTGGTCATGCATACATTGTTTCCCCCCCCCTCCCTCTTTCTTTCCCTCCCTCCCTCCCTCCCTCCCTCCCTCCCTCCCTCCCTCTCCCTCTCTCTCTCTATGCATTTTAGTGTGAAGTTTGAAATATGATAAGGATTGCACCCCAGCCAACCGCAGAGGTTATGAGCATAAGCTCATAGCCTAGCCTATGTCCGCTGCAATATTAAAAAAAGAGCTGAGACAGGTTATTCCAAATGCATTGTTCGACATTTAATAATTAGTCTGTGCAGGATGTGAGTTGTGACAGCATAACATGCGCAGAGCTCGTGCCACCGAAGCCTGCCGGCATGCCATCTCTGCCAGCATACCACACAAGCAGTCTCTGGTAAACAGTAAGTCAAAAGCAATGCCAAATTAGAGGTTCCGAACACTTATACAGCGAGATTAATCTGTCTCCAAGATTGTTCAATAGTACTGGTTCCATGCTGTAAAGGAGAAATTTGAGCAGTGCAGCACACCTGCTAACTTGGCGTTTTTAAAATGCATCCTATACCAGTGAGTAAGAAGTGAAAATCAAACCCAGGATCCTGCAATTTTCCAGTGCAAGTATTTGCTCGGTGTGCTCAGAGCTCCAGTGCACTAACATCCTTGGTCACCAAGATCAGTAAAATATGTGAAAGTTACCAGATTTTATCCTACAATTGCCCGATTTAAAGACATCATCTTCACATTGTTTATTGTGAATTCGACACATTGTACGAGGGGTGATCAAAAAGTGCCGAGACTGATTTTGTTGCGTAGAAAGTGAGGGCAGTACAGTGAGGCGCGCGCAGCAGTCAATGAAAAAAACCTTTGTGTCTCATTATACCAAAGGGTGTCGCTCTGTGAATATTTGGAGCTGCGCTACACTAGTTTGTTTGACCACATGCACGAGCATGATGGCAATCTTTCCATAGACTGCAAACCAAAGCGAGAACGAACATCAATTTTACGTCAAACTCGGCAAATCTGGAACAGAGACTTCTGAAATGATTTAGAAGAGTTATGTCAAAAAGCAGTGAGGTGTGCGAGGTGTTCCGAGTGGCACTCGCGCTTCAAGAATGGCAGAACGTCACTGAAGTCAAAGAGAGGGCGGATAAAGTCGCCCTACCGCTTTTCCGTTTTCCAGCGATATACTGCCGTTCCTGAAGCGCGTGCCACCTAAAACACCTCGCACCCTTCACTGCTTTTTGACATAAGCATTCTAAATCATTTTACAGGTCTCTGTTTTATATTTGTCGAGTTTAACGCATAATTGATCTTCGCTCTTGTTCTGGTTTGTAGTCTATGGTAAAATCGCCATTGTGCCCATGCACGTGGTCACGAAAGCTCGTGAAGCGCAGCTCCAAATGTTCACAGAGCAAAGCTCTTTGGTATAACGAGACACAAAGGACCCTTCATTCGACTGCTAAGCGCGCATCACTTAGTGCCCTCTCTTTTTACGCTACAAAATCAGTCCCGGAACTTTCTGATCACACCTCGTATATACCGTAAAATCCCGAGAGAATGCCCACTTAACATCAAGAGCAAATCGAGTGAAAATATGGAGTGGGCCAATTTTCGGTGTACCATCAAGAAAAGTTTAAAAAATTCTTCCAAGCTTGTTATGGTGGTGAGGGGCAACGAAGCAAAGATGACTGTACTTCCCAGTCAGCAACGTTCACTTATATCCCGCCATAGCTATAACTAGCCGCATTTACGCCGAAGCCATCATTGATCCCAACACTACTATTACTTCGGTGTTTCAAAAATATAGCCAATCAAGCCCAAAAATAGGGGTGGGCTATCTTTTGGGGGTTGGGCATCTCTCGGGATTTTATGGAGTTTCTTTTTTTATATAATTTTTTAGTTAACAAAAGCTTCGAACAATACGTCCGTAGGAAGGTAACAATAAATTCTGACCAGGCAATTTTGATGGGAATCAAAACATCCATCCAAATGTGACCACCACAATCAGCTTGTCGTTCAGATTGTGGCATGTAGGGCATGGAGTGAGATCATGCACTCTGAATAGACTAGTCACTTGTCTTTAAGTCAGCAATGCTGAACTGTAATAGCAGATTGACTTCAAGAATAGTCCAGTACAGAGGCCAAGAGAATTTGGATATACTCTGCCAAGTTCACTTGCCTGTTTTGCACTCCTCTCAAATAGAACATACTGCTGACACTGGTCCAAACGCTTTTTGCGCACAGTCCAATACTCCAGGACCTTGTTTTCTTGCTTCAGCAACTGCTCCATCAAAGCTGAGAAAAAAAGAATACACACACAAAATGCTCAATAATCAAGCTAAAAAGGTGCTCCTCTCAGCTACAGGGAAGCTGATCCTTCTTCACATGCAAACAAAAAAACAAATTGTTAAGAACACATAGGCCCAGCTACCTTTGACCTTGGCCTCCGGGCCTCTGTAGTTGCTGTCGCCATGGCCTGCACAGTGCTGGCTGCACCGGGCCGTATACTTGAGGAAGGTCTCGGCGTTGCGCCTGGCCATGGTACAGGCCTTGAGGAAGGCCTCCTTCTTCTCCTGGTGCTTGGCAAGCAGCTGCGCCAGCTGTGCTCCACGGTTTGTGCCCTCAGACTCTTCACCTCCGGCACACCAGTCCTCGTCACGGCGGTACTCGCGCTCCAGACTGTCCAGAACCGAATACACCTGGTACAAATACCAAGCCCAAGCGTTAGTGACAATATTTTTTTGAGTCAGCACCACCAAAACTGGAAAAGAAAATACTGGGTATGCATTGTAGCAAAAACAAAAAAAGTAAGTGATCAAAATGTCACAATGGGGAGGCACTTCGCTTCCCCGAGGTACTGTGGCCTTTAGGAGATGAGTTTTGGTTGGTTATAAATCTCAGTGCATCTATTCCCCAAACCATTCAGATTTCTATTGAATATGTTTCCAGAGAAATAGGACAACGTAGAGCAAGGGTTGGGAATATATGGGCCCTTTGACTACTAGAAAGACCATAGCCTGTACTATTTACACCTGGCTCACATATGAGTGCTAAAAAACCCGAACAGAGATCCTACTCAAATACAAACTAGTTAATAAAAAATGTTAGGAATATTGAGGCTGCATGGGGGTTTATGCAACTGCATGTTTTCATTACAAAAACAAAAAAAGTCCTACGCTTGAAGCGAAATTAATGAGAGCCACCAGACTCCCGCCAATTAGTTAATTCACAGTACGGCATAAGCAAATGGGCCAATATAGCAGTTTATATCGATGACCATGCCTGCTCTGCAGTCTTGTAGAAGCGCAGCGAAGCCGTGACCATTCTGTGCCTGTCCTCAGCGTGGGTCATCATGCGGTGCCACCAGGTGTCCACCGTTTCCGCAACAGATCGTACTGCTGCTGGGTCATAGTGGTTGGCTTGCACTAGAGACTCTGCCCTCTGCTGGATCTGAATGGCACTCGCGTGAGTTTTCTGCAAAGCACAACCAAGCAAGTTATTAATTACAACAGTGGACTCAAAGGTCGTTCTCATTTGACAAGCATGCAAGAAGTGACTGAATTATCTGCCATACATGCCAGCTCTCAGACCATGCTGTGGCAAGACATCAACTGAAAGGCTGTAAGGTGCCCAGATCTAAGAGAGAGAGGTACACCCTAAATCGATATCAACAACTTCAAATGGCAGATATCTTGGTTGGGATTCACACCTACTAACTGGGGATCCTTAGGTAGGCACTCTGCCTCAGAGCCACCGAGGTGTTAGCAAAACAATACGGATCAGATTCAAGTTGAACAGGCGAACACTTGCCCTACAAGTAAATTAAACAGAAAATTTACTGAGTGCAAAAATAGCGAACGTGTTGCACATAGTGGGAACGAATGGAAACAAGCACAACAGTCTTCCGTAGTCACCGTTGCCAAGTTTGATTGAAATGTCATGTGCCCTCTATCAGCCGAGGTTTCTGTTTCGGTAGTTACCTGTATTCACATCCTCCACTAAGAAAAAAGATCTCAAAACTCTGTCAAAACACTGCGCCTCCCAAAGCAAAAAAGCAAAATGCCTAGAACAATTCTATAGAAATGTCTTTGTGTGCCTTTGAAAAATTAAATAATTTGTTTTTAATATACTAGAAAAGGATGTCAGCAAAGGCCACTAGCATTTGAAATATCGAGAGGTGCCAGTCTGCTCCTACACAGCAGTTAACCTAACCAAGAAACTAAGACCATTATTTACATTACCACTGATAACTGAATAATCAGGACATTGTAATGCCCTAATTCGACTCAATTGAACTGAGATAATGCCACATACCTACTTCAACCCAAGCTAACAACAAAATGAAAAAAAAAAAAAAAAAAAAAAAAACTGATGTCATAGTATTTTTTTAATAGTGAAGCGAATTGATCATATGGAGTACATGATGTCACAATTCAGTGTCGGCCTGCTATCTGCTATTGTTGAGGTCTATGTTGGCGGTGCACTTCAATGGGCTTGGCGAGCGTACAGAATCATGTGAAGGTGCATTTCTATTTGCCATTCTTGGCATGTGTCATGGGGTGTTCCTGTAGTTCAGTTTCCTGTGTTCGCTTTCTTTGAATCTTTGTTTATTTTTTTTTTTTTTGCTGCCCTTTGGCATTACCAAGAAGCCTCCTCTGAGAAGGGGGCAGCCAATGGGGAAGCACAAACCTGGCGCGAGTGGCCCTGCCACTTGCGCCTGGTTTGCACGTGAAGAATATGTGTCCACTTCGAGACAGAAGTTGGACCCCATTACGGGCAGCAGGAGGGCAGGCGTTTGGTAATGAATGTAAGTAAACAAGTTATTTCCTTAAGTCGTCATTGTTGCCACTGCCTCGCCTTCGAAGTCTCTAGCCGCGATCAGGAAGAGGATTTCCAACATCTGGCGTCTCTTCCCACCGCAACAACAACTTTACTGTCACTGTGTGTGTTCTAACGTCCATGTGCTCAACTGAGCGAGCGTGCGCAAGGATGACTCTCTGAAGACACATACCCTCAAGAACGTTTGTAATGGCGACAAGAGGATGCACTTGCACGGAGTGTTGGCAAACTGAGCAAGGCAGCTCAGCGAGCGAGCGTGCACAAGGATGGCTCTCTGAAGACACATACCCTCAAGAACGTTTGTAATGGCGACAAGAGGATGCACTTGCACGGAGTGTTGGCAAACTGAGCAAGGCAGCTCGATGAGGTTTCAAAGGTAGAGTAAATCAGAATTAACAATTACCTCATGAGTGAAGCAAGTACAGTCGCCGCAGGAGTAAATAGCTCCACACGAGCGCGCATTTTTTTCTGAGAGGCGCTTGACTGGTAGCTTGCGATAGAACTAAAGATGACGTTAGGGCGAGTCCATGCGGAGTGGACGGGGGAAGCCGTCTCAATTCAAGGGAACCGTTGTTATCATCCGCCTGCGGGTGAGCGTAGTTCGAATGAAAAGGGGAGACAATTCTGCAGAAGTCAAGATTGACGAGCACGAATGAGATGGCTGCTTGGAAAGAGAGAAGGAAACACGTCGGATTTTCTGCACCACTCGGCGGCTTCTTGCTTTTATTTGTTAAGTTTACAAGTATCAGCAGTTACCTTTTCTCGCAGACGATTGATGTTAAGCGCATTGGGCTTGCTCTTGAAATTTCAGTTTATTCCGTTTCCTTTGTGGTTCTGCAAATCACACGAGATCGCAGAAGTTGCCTCGCAGGTTTAGCTCGCATTTACTGTATACCGTAAAGTTCCGAAAGAACGCCCACCCAAAATGAAGAGATAAATTATGAAAAACATGGGGTGGGCCATCTTTGGGGACGCCACAGCAAAAACCTTATCAAAAATTAATGATAAACGCCCTATCGCCGGCTACGAACCACGTGACGCGGGAACTGATACTGCAGATTGCGGACACCGCAAATTCGAGTTTCACGATGCGATAAACACGTGCAATTTCGCTACTAACTCCTGTATCACGGGAAAGGATACCACAGGTTGCAAACGCAGCAAATTCGCATTTCACGGTGCAACATACACGCGGGAACAACCCGCATGTTACGGGAGCCGATATCGCACGCGCACATCGCGGAAACCCGCTATGAACTTACTTGTCAGACTTGCCTGTACAGCAAAATGTGCGGATGATGCGTTTCCCGTCGGACATCGCGTGACATCCGACGGGAATCGGGAAGTGGGTGATGTTTCGGAATTTTTATGTTACAGATATTTAGCCAAAAAAAAAAAAGGGATGGGCGATATCTTGGGGCCGGGCGTTCTTTCGGAACTTTAGGGTACTACAGTTTCATTTATCCTGGTTTACGTTATGCACACTAATACTCAGTTCTTCGTCCAAGTTGTTTCGAATAAGCATTTCTTTTATTTTTAATATGCCTGCTCATGTACCGCATGATAGGAAGGTTCGCATAACCGCGCTCTCGCAAGCTGGATTTTCGCTAAGGCAAATTGCGTCAGCCACAGGAGTAAACCGGTGAACAATCAACCGGATTGTGCAGGCCTTTCGCGATGAAGGGCGCATTGAGGATGCACCTCGAAGTCCACCCCCTCGCCGCACGACTGAGGAAGAGGACTTGCTCACAGTAGCAGGTTTCTGTAATTATCCGTTTATGACAGTGAAGGAGTTGAAAACATGCTTAAACATCCGAGCTTCTGTGACGACCATACGTCAGCACCAACAGGAAGCCGGAATTCGATCCCGAGTGGCTGCTCAAAAGCCTCGCCTTTACGAGTGTCACCGAACTGCACGAAAGTCGTTTGCAGATCATCAGCCGTGGGGACCATCTGAATGGAATGAGGTAGTCTTTACGGACAAGGCCAGCTTCTGCAGCCTTTTCGATCAACAGCGCCGTGTATGGAGACCGGCCTTCTGCAGGTCGGTCTTTCTGTTTGAAGACTTCAGTAGTTTTATTTTAACTATATTCAGAAGATGGCTCTTGTAGGCACGGTTGGTTTTATCTTTCGAAATAACCACTTTCACGTATGATCCACGTCACATTCAGCAGGTCACTGCCAGCAGGCGGGCCACTGTCAGCGTTTGGGGTGCAGTGACCAGCCAGGTCTTAGTGCCGCTACATAGGCTGAGTGCGCCTTTCACTGCGGGGCAGTATATTGATGTCCTGGATCACGTGCTGCTACCTTTTCTTCTTGAGGGGCCATTTGCGGATGGTTGCTTCGTGCTGCAGCACGATCGTAGTCTCGTGCATCAGGCAACCGCTGTGAAAATCTACTTGGAGGAGCGGTGCATCAACAGCCTCCAATGGCCCCCAGGAGGCGCGGACCTTAATGTGATCGAAAATGTTTGGGGTCTGCTGAAGAAACGGCTCTCCAAAAGGCACCTTGCGGACGCATCAGCAGACACCCTGTGGATGGCTATTGTAAAGGAGTGGAGGATTCTACAAGCTCAGCAAGGGCTTGTGATGGCACTCTACGAGTCTCTTCCTTGTCGCATGGGAAGCGTTGTCGCTAACAACGGGGCGCATTGCAAGTATTGAATTAATGTAAACATCGACATTAGGTTATTGATAAGCCAAGTGGTTACAAACAAAGTATGGGTTACAGTATTTCTTGCAAATCATAAATATTAGCCAGCTCTTTTATTGTACTGAAAACATTTCAGAATAAAAATTCTAAGTTTATGACAGACACCGGTATTTCAAACCTTGAAGACATGCGCGTGTCACTTCTTTATGATCCGGAGCACATTGTCACCAGCGGAGCTGCGTTGGCTACTGCTCAAGCATCGTGCCCAAAAATATGTTTTTGAGTAGTTTGGTGCATTTTGTCTTCTTTTTATTATACTGAGCATATTGAAGTTCAATACCGTTTCATAAGAAATTTGTGTCGAAAAACGTTATCGCACAATTATAATAGGCATACCAAAAATAAAGCTTGTTTGCGTAGTTAAATACAAATGGCGAGAAAATGAAACAATCAGTATCTGTATTTCATTAAAAAAAAATGGGGGGGGGGGGAAGAGGATGATGCGGCATGACCAGCTTCACAAGATTGTAAACAATAAGAACGCAAAAAAAGCGTATAGACAGGTGAGCATGCAGCAACAAATAAAAGCGAGAAGCCGCCGAATGGTGTAGAAAATGCCGACGTGTTTCCTTCTCTCTTTCCAAGCAGCCATACCAAGCGTGCTCGGCGATCTTGACTTCTGCAGAATCATTTTCCATTTTCAATCGAGCTACGCTCACCGCAGGCAGATGATAACAACGATTCCCTTGAATTGAGACAGCTTCCCCCATCCACTCCGCATGGACTCGCCCTAACGTCATCTCTAGTTTTATCGCAAGCCACCAGTCAAGTGCCCCTAGGAAATAGATACGCGCTTGCGTGGAGCTATTAAGGGGGGACACTACCTGGGAATGTCAACTTTTCAACCACTCACTCAATCGGTATGATATTTTCAGGTGGTGTTTACAGCCATATAGAAGGAGGGTGGCATGCAAAGCTTCAGCCCTGTGGACCAATTTTATACAACCAGAACGAAGTAAAGCATAGCTTTGTATGGAATCTGCTCAATAAATCTATCGTTGAGAAATGATGTTGATAACCACATATTTTTCTGGTGGAATGCATACTGGAATACCTGTTGCTGGTTACTAAGAAAAGAAATTTCAGAAAATATGCATTTTCAGGTAAAAAAATATGTATGAAAAATACATTTTTGTTTTTCACATTAACCAAGTTTTGCAAGTTACAATTTTTCGTAATAAAGGAACATGAAGTTGCAAAATCTAAGTTCATAGTAACCGGCTCCATAAAATTTCGGCATATAAACCGCAAATATTAAGTCTCTCGATAGTTTCATACAGAAACTATAGTTTTATTAAGGTGGGATTTATGCCAAGTAATGGATTGGAGAAAAAAGCATTCAAAGTGCTCGAACCTCTACCTTTTCTTTAACATTGGTGGACTGAAAATAATTTATAAAAAAATAACTATGCACTCTATATAAATGGAACTTTCTGGGAATACTCTCTAGATGTTGGCAGATGTAAATAGGGCACTTTTCAAAATCAACTTTTTTGCAAATTTTTTTTTTTTCTGGGTAGTGTTCTCCCTTAGCTCCCGCGGTGACTGTACAATATTTTGCTAGCCCTTTGTACCAACAGCCGCTCCCATTGGAGATCATTAAATCAAAACAACATGCACTAAATGTTGATTACATACACACGGCATACGCAAAGCAACCTATTATTATTATTACTTACAATACCAACAGCACTTTCCAACTGTCTCAAGAGTGTTTTTTTTTTTTTTTAAGAAAATACAAGAGCGATTTATTTTACCATTCAACCGATCATAAATTTCTGATTCAGGTATGTGTGCCCATAAACAATAGTGATGGTATGTGTTAAAAAAAAAATAATAATAATACCTCGGAATCTGACAACCAGGTTTTTTAAAGTATGATTCGATTTCTACAGTGTGCATATTGCAAAATTTACCATAAAATCCCGTAAGGATGCCCCCTCCCGAGAGATCGCCCATCCCGTTTTTTTGGCTAAATATCTGTAACATAAAAATTCTGAAACATCGCCCACCCCTCGATTCCCGTTGAAAGTCAAGCGATGTCCGATGGGAATCGCGCATCAACGGCGCGATTGGCGGTACCGGTGCGTCCGAAAAACAAGTTCATAGCGGGTTCCTGCGTTTTTGTCTGCGATATGCGTGCGATATCGGCTTGCGCAACACGCTAGTTGTTCCTGCGTGTATATTGGATCGTGAAATGCGAATCTGCTGCGTTCGCGATTTGCGGTATCTGTTCCCGAGTTCGTAGCGGATTCCCGTGTTTTTGTCCGCGATCTGCGCGCGCTACATTTATTTTTGCTGTAACTAACACGCGCGAGTTGTTCCCGCGTGTATATTGCATCGTGAAATGCGATTCTGTTGCGTCCAGGATCTGCGGTATTTGTTTCCGGGACATGCGAGTTTCTAGCGAATTCCTGTCTTTTTGTCTGCGATATGCACACGCGATGTCGGTTTCCGTGACAAGCAAGATTGTAGCGGGTTCCCGCGTCTTTGTTGCACCATGAAACTTGAATCTGCTGCGTCCGCGATCTGCGGTATCCGTTCCCGTGAGATGCGAGTTCTCGGCGGGTTTTCGCGAGTCCTTCACACCGTGAAACGCGAATCTGCTGCGTCGGCCACTTGCGGTATCCTTTCTCGTGACATGGAAGTTTGTAGCGAATTCCCGTGTGTTTATCGCATCGTGAAACGCAAATCTGCCGTGTCCGCAATCTGCGGTATCAGTTCCCATGTCACGTGGTTTGTAGCGGGTGCCCCGGCGCTTATCATTAATTTTTGATAAATTTTTGCTGTGGCATCCCCAAAGATAGCCCACCCCATGTTTTTCCCAATTTATCTCTTCATTTTGGGTGGGCGTCCTTACGGGATTTTACGGTAGATGTTTCCCTCCCTTCGATGACAAATTTGTGAGTTATTGACGTAAAAGGCTAGCAATGAGAATAATGCACCGCCATCTGTCAGAAGCTGCTCGCTTGGGAACATCGAATCTAACTGAGAGCTTCCCACTCATCGATGCCCACCTGAGGTTTCACCAAACCCTCTCGACGCAACGGTCAACCAATATTTTAATTTTTCTTAAAAAAAAAAAAAAAAAAAATTGGGTTGTGTGTGTGTTTATACAGCCTAGAACTTGGTCTGCCTCACAGGGGCAACGAGTCTCCCAGCTGTAGATGAGCAATTTAGCCAGTGCGGTACAGCCGCTAGCCTGGGGTCTTTAACGTGCATCACGCAGTAGTGATACACGACCGCACGCCGGTACGATGCTCATCCAGATCGAAACGGGCAGGGGTGGGGCTCGAACCCAGGATCCCTGGGTTCTGCAGCGCGAGCTTTCGCTCCACGTGCTCCGAGCTGGTGTGCGCTAGACCACTCGGCCACCGATCCCCCTAATTTTTTCTTCACTGACCATGCATAACGTTTGGTATGAAATAAATGTTCACTTAAGCAAGCTGCATTCGTAATCTGCTTGTTTTTGAAGCCACCAAAGCGCGGCTAACCCTACACAACACCTGCCACCAATTGCAGTTTTGGACATAGCAATGGAAGTCGGAAGGCGATTTTCCTTCCCACGATGCATCGCTTCAAGGAATACATACTTCCTATAGATGCATTTTTCAATGCTGACAAGCATTTACCACAAAATATAATATTTTTTTTTAGTAAACAAAGAAAAATAAAACACTTCAAACGAATGCAAGAAAGAAAAATACCCCAGGGGCTGCATCACCCTCGACATCACCAATGGTTGGGCTTGCAGTAGTGCAGGCTTCCGCGACCTGCCCGGATCACTATGAAGGCAGCTCTGACCTCTAAACATGCCCCTTACCGCAATATTCGCTGCTACGATTGTGTGAATACCCCCCTCTGCATTCGGAGACAGTAAGTGCGTCGCTAACACTGGCCGCCGTTCGCAATGCTGTAGATGCTACCATCTTGAACTTAGCACAAGTCTGTTCAATTCAAATGAGATAGGCAAGTTCAGTTGACTTCAACTGTCATTAGTAGCTCAATGACAGTTGGCGCTTCCGCTTGACATTGGTCGATTCAATCAACTGTTGGCGACGACAGTTGAGAGAGCTTGTGTAACAGGGCAATAAGACTCTCACCTCTATTGCCAGCTGAAACTGTTCATGTTGGGAGCGTAACTGCTCAGCTTCAGGGAGGCAAGTCGGAATCACAAACGTGGCAGAGAGCATCGCCTCTCCATTCCTGATCCACGTGTTCACCTGGATTTAAGAAAGTTCAAGAAAATTAAAGAGGGAAAAATGGAACCAGCATTTATTTTCAAACAAAATTGGAAGAGTCTCGAAGTGAATAAAAACAGAAAGCCTGTTGGACCGGTGTTCTTCATTAGCCCAAGGGTTCTCGAACTTTTTTGAGTCAACAAATAGCCATCTCATTTTATCTATAGGTACTTGAAAAACCCCTCCCAGTCTCGGCACTGATGGAACAAAAACGTTGCGAAGCCTACAGACGTTGTAAACAATAATGCATGTACACTAGGAAGTGCTTGGTTCACGCTTATGCATCAATGGGTGGCCCAGATCTAAACTAGAAAAACGCTTTACTTAGAGGCAAGGACGGTGAGGATATTTGGTGACTAGAGGAACCCACGAGAATATTTCGGGGAACCCCTAGGCTTAGGAACCCAGTGTGAGAACCCATGCATTAGCCTAACAAGGCGTCGGCACAAAACGACTACAGTCAAACCTCAATGTAATGAAGTCGGTAAAATTCTAAATTTACTTCGTTACATTGAAATTTCACTACATAGAAATTCAGGGCTAACGTTAAAGAAAGTTTCCACAAATGTTTCTCCGGTGCACAAAACTCACCAAGGACGCCTTTATTTCAATTGAAACTAGTCCGCCACGTTTTTCTGGGACACTCTTGGCATTATTATTGGCATCACACAATGTTCGCATAGCCAGATGGCCTGTATCGCGTCTTCGTTCTGCTGTGTGCTTGCGAACCGCCTCAAGACATTGATCGCGTCCACCACTTTACGGTTACTGGGCACATCGCAGGTGTGTTTCTCATCAGGCTTGATGTCGTCCCCGTTTTGCGAGTTCCCACGAACATCGCTAGCTATCGCCTCGTCGGTCACCTCCTCCGTCGCAACGACAACAGAGTCGGGGTATAGAGAGTCGTCGAGGTCGACATTGTTAGGGGTGGCTTCATCGCCTTCAAGGCTCCATCGCCCAGGACAACGAGAAATGCATGCTTTTAGTTAGGCCTCGAAACGAACTACGCAGCGCAAACGAAGCCGACGGAAGAAACGGCGGCGGCTCTAGTGTCCCCTCTAGTGGCCGTTCTGTACACCCCACTAGCCAAATTCGGCCCGTTTCACCTTTTGCGCTTTATCGGGGGCCCGTTTCAGGCATGTGCTTCCCAAAATCTCCTTTGGGACCCAAAAATTTGTGTGGAATGGTCCGTGAAACTTCGCTACATAGAAATTTCGGCAAACGAGACTTCATTACATAGAGGTCAAAAATACATGGCGTGCATACACCTGCGGTTAAAAAAAGTTATGTACTTCGTTACATTGAGGGTTTCGTTACATAGAAGTTTGTTACATTGAGGTTTGACTGTACCAAAAGCAAAGTCATCAGTGGAGGTAGCAGTTCACCTGGTTGGCATCCTTCTCCAGCTGGCACAGCTGAATGCACTGCTCTAGGCGAACCCTTTTCACCTCAGCCAAGTCCTCAATGTCCATTTCGCGTTCGTGCAGGAACTCGAGCAAAGCCTGAATCCGACTCTGGGCATTGTACTGACCGTCTGCCATCACCTGCACTCCTGACGACTCCAGGACCTGCCACAGACAAGACGGAGGAATGCAATCAGCATCGCAGCGCGCGAGAGGCCTAGTCACTGAAACGGAGACCCCAGGTACTTGCCTGGGAGAGCTCTTGGCCGCGCTGCAACAGCTGGAAGACCGCCTGCTGCATGTGGGCCACGCTGTCCGTGTGCAGCTGCAGCAAACGCTCGGCCTGCGCCAGCTCCCTCGTCACCTCCGTGTGCCGCAGCTCCTTCATCCACAGCTCCAGCTGAGAGCTCAGCTGCCCAACAAGACACAGTGCTCAGCATCACATCACCTACCAGCAGAGTCAACAACCAACTGGGACAGCTTTGCCTTTGAGTGTGCTAAGCAGAATAAGGGCTCGCTCATACTGTGCTGCCACTGACGCTGAACTTTTTAAAACAAACACTAGGTCAAAATGGCTGTTCTGTGTGCCTCACTTCTGGATGAATAATGTGACCTCATGCTCATTGTCACGATGCAAAATAAAGAGGAAATATCCTTGTAGCCCCCTCCCCGATGCAATAAAGGAATCTCCTTTTGATTTGCATGCGCGAGAAAAGGGTGTACTTGCTATTGAGGCTGGTTCACACACATACGACTGCTTATGACCGGAGAGGTTTAAAACCGATTTGTAGCCTCTCCAGTGGTCAGCAGCCGCAAGTGTGGGAATCAGCCTTTAGAATCAAATTTTAAACACACACAAAAAAAATTCATATATATTTGGGTGTTTCTTGGGGTCCATGTTCAATTAACACACAAGCTGAACCAAGTTAAAACCCTGCTTGGTGATCTTTTACATTTGCACTTTTCTTATCCAAAAATATTGGCCACTGGAGGTGCCTGCACAGGACACTGGCTGGAACACAGTAGTTCCGCTTTGATTAAAGTCCCTGGAGATGGCCCTTACCTCGATAGAATCGCGTTCGAAGAGGCGCAACTGCAAGCACAGGTCCAGCTGAAGCTTGCGGTTGCTCCAAAGTGCTTCCAACTCCTCCCGCGTCCGTGTGAGAGCTTCCAGCGTCCCTTCGACAGCAGCGTATGAGCCAGTACTGTCTGTCTCAGCAGTCATACCTAAGCTTCTGCAATGTAACATTACCCACCACATGAAACAATGGAAACTGTATACTCAGCCTGAACACTCTGGCCCCGAAATCTACTGTAGTGGGCGCATAATACCTCTCGGATTTACCTTAGATTACTGGTACTAAATCTGAACCAATCTGACCCAAATACTAGGGAGGTATTTATGAATTGGCACAAAATGGTACAAATACAGCATGCAAAATAAATCTGCAGCGTAAGCTTCCTCTCCTCGTCCCTCTTGAAAAGTCTCCTTTGGAAACAAATTCTCCATGCTCTGACCTCTGCTGGCATCCCTTTGCTTTCTTGCAACTTGAATTATGTATCCAATGCCAAAGAAATTAAAAAAGATTACTATGCTTGAACTTTCTCCAATTTCATATACAGGGTGTTTTTTTTGTTTTTTTTTATTCTTTACAGATATGTTTAAAAAAAGTCATGACAGCTACACTTGTGCGGTTTTCGCGAGTGAGTTATATGGCCAGGGGGACATTATGTGGGTGGCTAATCATTGCGATAAGTCGGATAATTAATTAAAATGTGTTAATTAATGTTTTAATTAGTGAAAATAGTCTTATGGTTCCAATTAGAAATTTGCTGAATGTCGTCCAGAGCCGTTAAATCAGTAATTTTTACAAAGACTTTGAGCGCGTGAGAGGTGCAGTAGTGCGCTAAAGTTACCACTCGTGGAGCAGGTACAAGGCTGGGGCTTGATAAGAGACGGAAAAATTGCGCAGGCGCCTTACCGCTACCGCTAGCCTTGTAATTGGTCCACAAGTGGTAACTTTAGTGCGAACAATCGCCACCGACATAATATCCCCCCGAGCGTATAACTCACTCGCACAAACCGCGTAAGTGTAGCTTCATGGCTTTCTTCAAACAAATCTGTAAAGAATTTAAAAAAAAACACCCTGTATATTTGCAAGCATTTTCTATTCAAGTCTTAATAGTGTAGCAAGCAAAGCAGAGCTCTTTGCAGTCCGACAACTTGAAGAATGTTCTTACCTGAGCTCTTCAAGGAGAGTTTCCCCTTCACTTATGGTGCTGACAGCCGCATCCAGAGTTGAATCTCGTTGCTGCGTGAACTGTCCCAGCAGCTGCTCTGCGGCCTCAGCTGAGTCAGCCACCTTGTTGCTCTGCAGCTCTGCACGCAGCTCCTCAAACCAACTGCTCAGCTGTGGGAATCCAAGTCGGGAGATGTTCAAGCGCCTCATAACTACTTAGAAATAACAGGCTGTATTATGACAGAAAACTTGCAACCAGTCACTTTTTTGTTGAACACTGGATATACCGTAAAATACAGGGGGAGTGCCCCCCTCCCCCCTCCCTCCCTCCTCCCTCCCTCCCTCCCTCCCTCCCTCCCTTCCCTTCCCTTCCCTCCCCTCCCCTCCCCTCCCCTCCCCTCCCCTCCCCACCCTCCCCTCCCCTCCTTCCCCCCCCCCCCTCACTTTCACTGACAACAAGGGTTAATCTACACATGGGCACGTGTCCGGTCAAATCGGGCACCCAACGTATAATTTGCAGAATTCCCAAGTTTCGGAAATGTTAATTGTGGGCGCTTGAACGGAATGGGCGCTTGCGCAGTATTTTACGGTATACGATACATCCTCAGTTTATATGTTTTCCCCGTATTTACGCACACAAATGGCGGTCTTGTCAAACTCCCATGAATGTGTGTTGTATCAATTTCTAGCAGGCTATGTTTGCCTCGTCAGTTCTTACGTCCCAAAACTGCCACCCAACATGGCCAATGCAACGCATGGGGCCGCACTCTTCCCCTTGCTCAGCTTCCTCTTTTTTTGCTAGTTTGCTTCTCTCCACTGTGCTTCTTGTCGTACTTGCCCAGGTGGTAGTGGTGCAAAACTATCAACAGTACTATCTCAGTACTATCTATACTCTGGATAGTGAGAGAAATTGTGAAAAAAACTACCAATACTACTACTGACAGTCGACTATTGTAAAACCATTGATAGTACTATCGATAGCCAATTATTACAAAACTACCGATAGCATTTTATTAGGCAACAAAAAAAATCAAGGGTATATCCAGGAAATCTTGTGAAGCTCGAAGAAAAGCACAAGTGCAAATGGGGACTTTTGGATATCGCAAAGATCGACAAGGCTTTCCGGAGATTATCTCGGTGGAGATAATCCTCAAAGAACCTCGAACGTCGAACGCCACGATTATGGACAGACTGCAATGTTTAAATAAACAAATCTAAAAAAAAAATATAAAGAACTTTATTTTCATAAGGATGGCAGTTTCTCCAAAGCAAGAAAGTCCACGTAATATAAATTGCTGCGTAAGAGTTAATTTCTGTCTCATCTCTAAGCCCAGAAGTGGTCCAGCAAGTCCGCAGTCTAGAGCAAGTTTTGAGCAGAAAAAGCCTGGTTTGGAAGCACCTTGTATCAGAAAAAAATGCATGCTTTGGAGCAGCTCTGGAGCAACACCAACGTAAGTCTGGAGCAATTCAGTGCAGTTTCCTACAAGAGGCCTTGACTTGCATTAATGTAGTCAATACTGCGTGATGCCCATTACAAGCTCCAAGTTAGCGGTCATACTGTACTAGCCAAATTGCTTTTCTATGGCTGTAAAACGGCACCACAAACTCGGTCAAATTTGTGTTTTGTTTCCATTAGTGCAAGTGGACAAAGGTTAGCAGGATTGATGTAAGCGTGCTAACTAATTACCATCGAGAAGTAGATGCAAGGTACCAATGTAACCCTCTATATAATAAAGACTGGTATCATGTGACACGAAAACCTGAATTTTCTGGACCTCATACCTCATACCTGACGATTTCTCACTGCGTAAACATGTAGCATCTAATTTGCTTTGATTTCCCTCAGTTGTGATTGCAATCTAGCTGTCCAAGAATCCAGTCTATAGTCGGGGACAACTTTTACTGGCATTTCCGAAAAAGTGAAGACTGCGCCAGCACAGCTGCGATTGGCGCTCCGTGTGCGCGAGCACACGTTTACCCATAGCTTTAGCTTCATTGCCAAGAGAAGTTGTCCCCCAGTATAGTACACAGAAGTTTATTCAATAAAAATATTCTAGGTTTTGTAATGCACAGACAGTTGAACAACGAGAAGGACGATCAAGGATTCACATCATTGAACATGAAAAAAAAAAAAAAAGGCCACAATTTGTAGCAAAGATATCCAGACCAAGCATGCTAACGAAGAAGCGCAAGAAAAAAAAGAATTACTTGAGCATCTTCAGCAGTGTGCTTCAAAATGTTCCTAAAACTGAAGAAATCGCTCAGTGCTAGATGGTAAAATTTGCGTGAAACAGTGCCACAGAGCTGGAACCCGGAATTGGATTGTGATGGCTAAACCCCACAGGGTTCCCACAGTTGTCAGATTAAAACGAAAACTCTTCCAAAAACCAATCAGTTCACAAATAAATAGTTTGGCGTGATTTTTCTCTTCTGTAGGAATTTATCAAAATGGCGCAAATGGCACAGCTGGACCACCCTTCTAGGCCCCCAAAAGTATAACCGGTTGTTACACTTTCCCAGGTCATACATTTTTTTTTTATACCATGGTCCCCTGCAAACTGTAGTAACAAGACTCTACTGCACTAGCAAGTGCACGCACAAAAGCCTAAAGTGGAGCCCCAAAAGTGCAAAATCAGGTAACTTTAATCATAGTATCCCTATCAAAATTTTTGTTGCACCTACAAAGATACTAGGTGAACTAAAACATCATGAACTGAGAATCTGATGTGCCTAAAAATGTACATGTTAAAAAAAAAAAGCAAAATGGGCAATGTGAGTGGAACTCGGATAGCCTGTATCACCTCCTTGTCATGCGTGAAAAAGATGACCGCTAGCTGCAGAAGCTGTCTCCGCTGCTCAACACGTGTCGCGAAGCTGGTGATCTGGTCTTCTAAGTCCTGGGCCACGCCGCAGATGTCGTCCGCGTTGCACTCGCCAGTCTGCGCCAGCTCCTCCGCCGCAGCCAGTAGCTTCTCCGCATTTGTGTATGTGTTCTGGGCAAACTCGCCAGAGTCAACAATCCGAGCTCTCATACACATTTTAAGAAACACTTCCAGGTCAATTCAGTTGCAGTTCACAATGCAAATGCTACCCGTCACCAAAAAAATATTGCAAAAAATAAAATGTAAACTAGGCTGTAAAGTTTGAGGTATACATACTTTAACCTGTTAACACAAAGAGAATATTGGCTGTAGCAATGCAGTAGGTAAGAGGCCCTAAGTGGTACAAGTCTAAGCCATCAAACAACTCTACTGCTAGGAAGCACGTGCAATCTCACCTGCGCAACATTTTCGAAGTGTTCGTGGCTCTTCTGTAAGACTCTGGCCCTAACAAGGTTTCGTCCAATGCCAGGGTTTTTCCGCAGAAAGACCTCTCCGTGCTTTTCCAACCAGTCCAAAACCTAGAGCATCCAAATGGTAACCCAGAAACAAAGGAAGAGAAACCCAAAGATTTTACTACAAAAGCCTAAATTTGAATAATTAAAGGGGCACTGACACATCAAAATCATATTTTTTTTTATTATCCGAAACGATTGAAAACGATGCCGGGACATTACCCTCAAAATTTGAAATTTGGGAGTTCAGTATTTGTGAAGTAAAAAAACAATTTCCAAATGCCGAATTCGAAGTTCCCGCGCGATCGGCGCCGGTGCCTTGACGTCAAAAATCGCGGAGACCTGAGAGTCGACTTTCTTTCACCACTCCCTGCTGTTGCCAAAGCGAGGAGGAAAGGAGTGAGCGGCGGCGTTACGGCGGACCGGTTTTGAGCGGTGTCGCCTGTTTTCCGTTGGAGGATACAAATCCAGGAGACGGCACCACAACGAACTCCCGATTTTTGGTATTTCAAAAAGAAGGGCCGTAGTGCGTTCGCAATTGCGTTAAAAAACATGTTTTACGATTGCCGTAATTAAATGTTATAGAGATGTCGCCTACAAAGCTTCTAAATTTCCTGATTTTTGACGTCACCGATCAAAAGAAGCGAGGAGGCGAGAGGCGGGAAAATCAAACGCCAAAAATAAAAAGGCGCGCGCGCGCGCAAGAAAATTTTTTTTCGCGATGCGGTTTTTTTTGCGTGTCTATGACTGCAACTTGCATCGTTTTAGACAATAAAAATAAATACGACCTTTGGGGTGTCAGTGCCCCTTTAACCCTTGTCTAATAGTAGTTTCGAATAACATGCCATTCGATATCTGCTTCGAGATTAACTGCATTAATAATTTTTTTCAACGTGTTGATTGCGGCAGTAAACCTTGTTGAGTGTGCCTCTGTCAGTCTCACCCACTCCAAGCTGCAATTTAATACAGGTTTAGTACCAGAGGCATATTCTAAGACACTAGCCCAGAAAACTAGAACTGTTTACGGCAGGTCACAGCCTACCCTCCTTTCATTGCCCGAGTTTGCTCTCAGCATGGGCAGGGTAACGCAGCAACAGAGTTCGGTGAAATATCGCCGAGGGGTCGATGGTACTGTGAACCCCTAGAAAAACTCAAGTAGTGACCGCCATACATCGTAGCGTTTTCTCGTTTTTCGTACCGCGAAGCAAGGGTCGTGCGTAATGAAACCGATAACGGTCGGCGGCGAAGCCAGGCAGGAGGCAGGTAATTTCCATCCGTGCACGTTTCTGTTCGCTCGTTTACGTGAATTGCGCCGGCCAGCATCAGCGTTGTGCGTTTGTAATTATGAGACACTCGGGTGGATGCACTCACATGTGGGAATGCCAGGGCATTATTACGCTGTGTAATGGTGCAGTAATGCCCAATTCACGTCTTGCCCTTTTACTTTCGATGTCACAGTTACGACTTCACCAACGTCAGTCGTGCGGCAATATGTACAAGGTGGAAGCTACAATACCCGACGTCACAATTGTGGAATCAAAAGTAGAATCAAATTATGTGAATCGGGCTGTTCGAGGAAGACGGTTGACGTTTTGCTTCTACTGTTCACCAACATTGTTACCCAGGGACCATGTGGTTTACGTTTGTTCCTACCAAGCTTGATGAACGCAAGTTTCAGTTATCAAAACGATTCTCAATAAATATTCATTTAAACTACGAGAACTGAACATTTTATGTCAACTTTAGGAAGGTAGCAAGGCGGCTGACCGTATGATGTAGTGTAGATACAAACCTGAATGTAACGGGTGAATAAGTTTGATGGATCTTTTGAAGACAAAAGTTAACAAATAGGAGGGCTGGTATAGGTTACGCATAATTCAAACCAAATACGAACGGATGACAAGACGGAGGCAAACCGACAAGTTGAGTTCACTAAAGCTCGTTGAGACAAACACACCTGGAATTTTAGAGAGAAACAATTGAGACTGTGCTTGTCCCTTTCTTAGCCGTTCGTCTCCGGTGCTAATTATGGATCTTTTCATTCTGTTACGTTTGTACCTTCGAGAAGCCTGTCATAATTTTGAGTAGGTAGTATAGGAGTCCAAGAATGTTGTAAATAGTTACTTCAGGAGTTTACTGTACGCTATTTCTATATCCGTGTTTTCATCAGCTCATTGGTATTGCAATACGTGGTATACAGGGTGTTCCTTTTTAGCTACACCAAGTTTTTAAATAAAGGGGGAAAAGTTTATTAAATGTGGTTTTCACTGCATGTCTATATGGCTCGGTGGACATTAGACAGGAATATAACCATCCCTAATATCAGGCTAATTAACTAAAATTTGTTAATTGACTTCTTAATCACTGTAAGTAGAAAGTATGTTTATATCACACACTTAGAGGTGGTCGTATGCCAAGGCTGTTCCATTTTAATCCGACTTTTTATCCACTCAATCCGACAAACCTGCGAAAGTGGGATCTGCTATTCACTATGAGATGTTTTGGTGGCGTCACCTCGCAGGCCCCCTCCTGTAACGGAGCAGGTAGGATTCGAGCAGATGACGCCGTATGTCAAAGCACGGAGTGGCTATGTTAATTTGCATGTATGCCGATTAAAAACGGTTTATTTAGTAAAGAAACATGCATGATGTTCTTGTGAGTGATCTTTCTAAAGAATAACAGCGCCTCGAAGTTGCTTTTTATATTAAAAAAAACTTTGAAATGTTCAAGAACAAGCCTGGAGCTTCACATTACAGCTTGCGCAGCTTGCATCAGGGCTATTCACAGCCTCTCTGATTCTTGTTGTATTTTTTAAATCTGTGGAGGCTGCTGTAGAAAAAGATTGTGCATTCACCAGAATAAATGATGTACTTACTGTCTTCTCAGCTGTGCATGCGCACACAGTTGTGTTGCGAAGCGCCGCACGCTAGTTTTAGCTACAATGAGCATGCCAATACCGACGCTTCTATCCAAGTGTGACTCAACATTTGCTGACAAGCAAATGCTCAACAGCAACCGACGCTTAGCTCCTCCCACGTCAAATATCTGGCAAAGATGTTAATCACATCGCGACTTCTGCTTGAAAGAAAAGCAGTAATTTTCGTAAATTCTTGTACTGTCGGATATGCGGCCCGGAAAATTCAGGCGATTGATTAATTTGTTCTAATTTTTACCAAGAATTGTTTACAAATTTAAAATCGCTCGCCGAGTAGCACATCACGCATTATGTGCATTTGGTTCCGCAAAATGAAACATACAAACAGTAGTAAGTCTCAGCAGGTGTATACCTCATTTTTTTTGGGACGCTGAAGTGTCACCAATTTACTAGGTTTAACACTTTGATCACAAGGAGGTCTCACACGTTTCACGTTGACCGGGTGAATAAGCAGGATTTAATTGAAACAACTCCGGAAGCCAGCCACCGCTTCTTCCTCACAGTTATTTTGAGGAAATGTTTAATTACTGGTTTACAAAAGACAAAAAGGAATCAACTTGGAACTAATAAGAGAACAGCACTCACAGAACATATTGGAACCAACAGGATACAGGGAGTCGCTTTCAGTGAAGTGTTAACTACACACGCGAGAGATTCGCGAATTTCCCTTTCCTATTTTCAATTTGATGAGAGATTCCTTTCACAGTTTTATTTCCTCTAAATCATAATAAAAATACACCCTATTCACCATGGAAGATGTTGTAGTGGGGTAAAGCGCAGGATATTCTATTTTCATCATCCAGCTTTTTTTTACTGGGGTAGAGAAGAGCACATTACCATCTGAGCGCTTCAACACCTCAGTGCCAAAAGTGTTTGTTAGCACGGCTATGCGTGCCACGGTTTCAAGCTTTGATCAAATGTCCCACTACAAAACCACTTCACCAATTAAACATGATGCGTGAAACAGGCTTTGTCGCGCATTACCCAAAAGCGCATGAAGCGAGCTGACGAGCCGAAAGATCCAACTGTGCGGTCTGTTGTTAGCTAGAGAAGCACCCCCTGTAGTTTGCGCATGCCGCCAATAGCCAAACTTTGCTACATTAGCCGGATAAAAGTGTAAAATTCGGGGAATAACGCAGGACACGGGCTGGTTACGCGAATTCTACAAAATCGAACAGTCTTGGCATACGACAAGCCTCAAAGTTTGTAATATAAACACATATCCTAATAACAGTAATTAAGAAGTTAATTAACAAACTTTAGTTAATTAGTCTGATAATAGTGATGGTTATATTCTCATCTAACGTTCGCTGAGCCATATAAACACACAGTGAAAACCTCATTCATATAACTTTTCCCTTCTGTATTTAAAAATTTGGTGCAGCTAAAAAAAAACCTGTATAAATATGTTTATTGCACTATATTTTGTTTTCATGAACGAATAAAATATAAAAAAAATGAAATTGGGCACAGACACTTAAAGGGGTAAGAAAACAAAAATTTAAATATTCAGATTTCGTTCGTAAATGAGTCAAGCATGACGGATAATAACCGTAAATGATAATCACACGTTTGTATTTTGAACGATTGGCTATATTTTTCGTTCCAAACGGTGCACTCGAGCAAGCGCTCGAAGAGAAGCGAACGGAGAGCGCGATGCGTCATGGGATATCCGGCGCAAACAAAAACAGAAAGAAAAGATTCCCCGCGTTCGTGACGTAGCAAGGCTGGCGTGATTATGAGCTTTGCCCTTGGTGGCGTTGTCAGCATTGCGGTGGTGTCAATAGCGTCAGCGCGTTACAACCGAGCCGTTCGAAGTACCCGTGGGGTGACGAGCGTGTGGCTGGCCCAAGGAGCACGTAGCTTCCACAACACTGTCAGCTTAGTGCTGAACGAGGTGGGAAAAACAACTTTTGTTCGAGTTTTGAGCGACGGGCTAATCTTCTAGGGAGAGAATGGCGATGTCCGGTTGCACGAACGAGGGTGCGAGAAAGAGGGGAGTACTTCCGTTCCGTGTTCTTGGACCGCTTGGTACAATGCGCGATTTGTGAGTTCAGGAGGAAAGCTAAGAAGGAAAAGGTTGAAGTGCCAAAGAGCGGCGCTGCTCCGAAGGAATCTGCTACGTCCCGACTACGTAGCAGATTCCACAACGTTGCTAGACTACCTCCCAAATAGGCTCCGCATGCATCCACCAGGTGCACAATGAAGATTGTTTATTTAGCTTTAAAATTAGTTTTCTTGTGCTTTTCAACGAAAGACTGGTGTTTTTGAGGTTAGGGTGCAACAGGCAACACATTAAAGCTAGAAAATGATCGCTGAAATTTCGTTTCCCTACCCCTTTAAGACTGCTTACGTGTAGGAATGTGAAAGCATTCCTACACACAGCACATTGCTACAAGCACCGTGCCACGTCTTCCTTTCTCACACAGCGCTCCGACAGCGACATCACGTTCCCCCAATGCGCAGGCGCAGAGTACCCCGCCAGCTTCATGATGGCTTCCGTGACGAACCACCAGCGTTGCTGTGCTTTTCTTTCTTTTATTTCTGAGGCGCATGCTCGATGACGTAGTGGTGTGACCATTTTTTGGGAACAACGCCGCCGCTTTTTCGCGTAATGGGAAAAGTAAGGCTTTCGCCTTAAAAAACGTGTATGGTTTTGCTTTTGTGTCTTGCACGAGAAATTTAAAAGCAGACAAAAGGGCAAAATCGAGGTGGGTGGGGGAGAAGCAGAGCTGGGGGGGGGAGAGGGAAGGGCGGAGGATTCACACTTCCCTCACGACTTGCACCATCTAGGAACAGCGACGACAGATAGCGTACCCCCAGAACTCACTTTCCCCTTTTCTTCTGCTTCGAACATTAGACCTCTCTCGTTCATCCTCCTCTCTCAATCTTTCCTTCTCTCCGGAGCCCGGGAGCGCGTTTCAATGACCAAGGCTATAGCTTCGCAATCCTGGCATGGGTATGGGCGGGAGCGTGATCACATGGCAAGAGATAGATGCACAACTGGTTCAATGAGCCCGTAGCTTCAACCACACTATCAGCCTAGGGGTGAACAGAGTATGGCAACCTGGTGTTAAAAAACTCCTATGACCTGCAAAGCAGTCAGCCTACAAGGAAGAGGCACAAACCTGGCGCACGTCCTCCTGAAAGAGACGCAACGCCAGTCGCTGGTGCAGCTTCAGTTTCTTCTTATGCCATTTGGTCTCCAGTGTACGGTGTTGCCCCAGAATCTCGTGAATGACAGACAGCACATGCTTGGCCCCCTCAGAGTAGTCGCCCGCCTGGCAGCTGGCAAGAAGGGCACTGCCCTCTGCCACACCCTGCGAGACATTCAGCAAGGTTCTGTTGCACACGCTTGGGAGCACATGCCCCGCATAAACATCCGAAAGGTGGCCAGTGGTTTTGCGCCGCCGTCGGGCGAAGTCAATCTGACGTCACAATCTAGAGGTTTAACGTCACATGCAGCACTGACTAGTTGGAGTCGAATGTCAGGATAATCTGACTGACACTTTGTATGACAGTTGGGCACCTAGGAAAGTTTGTGGTAGCGATGATAATATCGCCACAAATTCGCAACAGGCACAGATTGTTAAGTTCGGTGAACCACAACTGTCAGAGGCAGACAGTACAGTATTGATGTTTGATCCCGTCACAGCGGTACGCGGTCAACTTTCCAATGTAAATGCTTATCTCCCCCCCGTCTCAAAAAAAAATATTTTTTTTTTACTCTCCAAGAAGAAAATTATTTGGTGTTAAACTAAGTTAAATGCAGCATTGTTTCTATGCCCAAGAATGTTTTTGCAAATTTCGATGTGCACCACATAATTAAAAAAACTAAAAAACATTTTCTGCACAGAATAGTCTATACAGGTATGAAAAACTAAAAAATCCCATCGTTTTGCGTCGAAGAACAAAAGGACATTGTCTTTGTTAATATAGAAAAAGTATGGAACTTACATGCTTGTGGGGATCAGCCTTCGATGGATGACACACCTGAACGAGGTGGTCCAGCTGATAAAGCAGCTTCTTGCTAGCACTGTGCACCTAAAGATGTAGTGCAAGATTTGTAACTCCCCAGGTGAAATCAATAATGCGAGACGATTGGGGCTAGCAAACCCACGATGTAAAGTAAGTTGAGATGTGTGGCACCTACCTCTGTATAGGCTTGACACATTGTTTCGTACACCGACTGATGTTTGGAAATCAGCTCCTCTAATGCAGTCACCTCACGAGGAATGGTTGAGATTTCACTTGACTTGTTCCAAGATGGCACATTTCCCAAGTACTATATTGAGAAGCACATAAAAAATACATGATCAAATAGAGTGGATTTAAAGGAACCATGTCGTGATCTGGGTCCAAGAAGGCATACTTCACATTAAACCGAGAAAACTGTAAAAGAGAAGTATTTTATCAAAGGCTAAGGACTTCTTCACTGAATACTATGAGTACTAATAAAACAAGCGAAATGAAACAGACAATTTCTCATTCTCAAGCTAAATGTTGCAGAACAGAAGGTGCTTACAGCGTTAAGCAGCTTAAAAAGTACTTCGGTTGCATGTGGGCACTTAAGCCAACAATAATATGCACTACCACACGCATGACAATTCATACTGGTCTTCAATATGAACTACTAGGGTTCTGTCTAATTTTTCTGGCAAAACCTAGCATTTAGAAACAAAAAGCCATGCAACCTTCAAGCCTAATGAGAATCCAAAGGTCATTCCGAATTACAAAATTTTCCACAATATATTTACCACGCTTAGAACCTAAGAATCGTGCAGTTTAAATTGAGAGATTGAGATAAGATATTATAATCGAGTCATTAATATTATATGGCAGCTACTCTTTGCACCAATATAGTAAAACCTCGATGATACGCTTGTGATGGTGAATAAATTTTCCCGGCCGTTACTTCCAAACACTGCCGTCCGATACGGCTGAGAAGGTGCATTAGACCGTCTGGCCAAGGCCGCCCCCTTTATTTTGCTCTGCTTTGCTCTTTTTGTCTCTTTACCTTTCTGCGACGCACTTCTCGCCCAGGCAGGCATGGCCCTCAACTAGGCTTAGAAGGGATAGAGGCTTTCACAACAGCCCATTCATCTTACTGTCTCCTTCTCCACTGCACAGTCACAAGCTTCTGCCATGCTTGGTTACCCTCTTCCGCTAGTTTCATTTTGCGTCAAGTTCATATTCATGCACTGTGTGCAACTGATGCAGGGGAGGCACAGTACCTCACCAGTAAGCTAGAAGTAGCGGCTGACACAGGAGAGCAACTGGGTTCGCTTGGAGGGCTCCGAAATATAAGCCGACATTATCCGGTTGCGATTATAGAATGACACTAATTTTAAATAACAGTTCTGAAAAATAAGTTGACCTGTATTTGAATAAATATGATAAGTCTCCACAGCCGTGCAAGTCTAAATGAAATAAATTAGTGTGTGAAAGTGGCTCCCCGTTGTATCTGTGGCCCCTTTAAGAGTGTTACCAGTTTTTAGGTTTTCCTGGATCATTCATTCTTTTATCGCAGCTCCCTGAATCTGTATCGATGAGGTGTTACTGTACACCACCACTAACATAATATACCGGGGGAGCGCCAACCCCACTTTCGCTGATGACTGGGTTAATCTAAACATGGGCACATGTCCGGTAAAATCAGATGCTTAACGTATAATTTACAGAATTCCCAAGTTTCAGAAAATGTTAACAGTGGGCGCTTCAACGAAGTGGGCGCTTCCACGGTATTTTATGATAAACTCAACTTGTTACGTTCACAACACAAATAGATTACTGAGCTTCAGTTCCTGATTGACGTTACATTTACATTATTAATGTTATTGGCTAGGAATGTGCAAATATTAAGTTTAGACTACAATTTTAGGTAAAAAATGTTCAACTACAATAGCTTTAAAATATAACTCCATTTGAATAGAGTCGAACATAAATGTGCCAAATAAACATGAATAAAGTAGATAAATATAAATTCACTGAGTGATTTTCTTTTAGTAAAGCCCTATTTAGGCAACATGAATTGAATGCCAAATGCTATTCAATTGATACTCAAATTTGTAAATAGTCACCCAACCCTGTCATTTGTACTATCATCTATGAGAAGGCTTGGGTTTGGATTGGGTTTTCTTGGCACAAAAGCTGCTTAGGACATAAGAGTGCCAATATGTAGAAGGCATTATTGACATGCATTCAACACATGAAAATGCAAGGGTGTAAAAAAAAAGCTGCTGCTCAGTGCATGAGACCACATAAGATTGTAGTACTAAAATTCACATTCAGTCACTTCCCCATATCTCTAACTGCCCAGCGGTTGCTTCACCTGTTGCGCCTTCTGGTGAAAAAGTACGGAGAGGGACAATACTGTGGTCCTCTCATCGAGTCCCGCCGCAAATTCCTTCCAGGTATGATCCAGAGCAGCAACAATCTGTTGCACAGTTGCTGCTGCGTAGTGGCCACCGTCAATCAACCGCGAGCCCATCACCAAGATTCGGTTGATGTTCACATAAACATTCTGCAAAGGATCATCACCCATCAGACCAGTGCAGTCTACATACTGAGGCAGAACTTAAAACTACCTGAACAAAAATGCACACCAACCATTGATGCCATAGTGAAGTGGTCATGCTCCTCTTGCAAAACTTTAGCATCCTGAGTGGAATGCCCTATTTCGACGTAGTTCATTAAGAAAAGGTCCTTGTTGTGATATATCCAGTCCAGCATCTGAAAGAAACAAAGAACTTAATGGATATTTAAATCACAAAAATATTTCCTGATGCCGCAATTTTAAATACAATTAGGTTAAGAAATTATGTTAAAGGGGCACGGGCAGGTCAAAATCATATTTTTTTTATTATCCAAAAACGATTGAAAATGATGCCTGAACATTACTCTCAAAATTCTGAACTTTGGAACTCGGTATTTGTGAAGCAAAAAAACAATTTCCCAAAGCCGAATTTGAAGTTCCTGAGCAATCCGCGTCAAAGATTGAGTCGTCCTGCAACTCGAGCTTCTCTTACGCTCGTGCTCGCCCGCGTCCTGCGATCAAACACTTTTCTTTGTCCCTGCCACCTATCGCTGTGAGCAGACGACGATTCACTTTCCGAGTCTTTTAAAGCCCTTTCAGCGATCTCAAATCCTTTGAAATGGGTTGAGGTCAAAGAGAATGCGCAGGGGACTTTTGTGAGCGACACAAGGGGCATGTCGCACCGGTTCTGCCTGAAAAGCAGAACCGGTGCAACGCCAAGCACCAATCCCAGATGTTTGGATCGTTTGATGATTTCCCTTTTTGAGGTCTGAGAGGTCGTCAGGCACCTAAAGAGGAGCACTTCGTTTGATCCCTCGGCTCACCGATCATCCTCAGTGCTACATGTGCCGAGCGCTGCCAGCGCTCGGCACATGTAGCACTGAGGATGATCCGCTGTGCCGAGCATGTACGCTCGGCACAGCAGAAAACATGGCGGCGCTGCCAGTGCCGCCATGTTTTCCGAGGGAGGATAAAAAGCCAGGAGGCGACATCACTACGAACTTCGATTTTTGGTATTTCAAGAAGAAGAGCTATAGTATGTTCGCAATTTCATTAGAACACATCTTTTACGAATGCCATTATTAAATATTCTAGAAACGCTGCTTACAAAGCTTCTAAATTTCATAATTATTGACGTCACAAATTAAAAGAAGCGAGGAGGTGAGAAGAGGGAGTGAAGGGCGGCAAACATTTTAAAAAGCATACGCGCACACTAAAAAATTTCTTTTCATTGTGGTATTCCATGCGTGTCTATGACTACAACCGGTATCGTTTTAGACAACAAAAATGTAACCTTCGGGGTGTCAGTGCCCCTTTAAGCTTAAGCTCTGTTCCAATAAATAAATAAACCTCCAATTCATGAGTTAACTCTTCCACATCTGTGTCAACTCATATGTCTTGCCTATCCATTTTCCCAAAAAGGTAAAAACCCTTTATTGCACACTCAGTGAAGAAAAGTTCCTAAATATCAACAAGGTGTAAGATGACCAGATGCCCCATTTTGCGTGGGACCGTTTTAGAGGTTCATTTACATTGTCCTGTCATTTTGCCTCAAAAAAACCTCATGTTCCGTTTTCACAGGAATGTGCAGTTGTGAAAACAGTACTAAGCAAATGGAAGAAAACCGAAAGAATGTGTATTCCTTAGAGACAGAATTTTATAAAAATAAATGTACAATGAAAGTGTTACCTCTTGAACAGCACAATATTGATCTCTTTCCCTAGTTACGTCTGCCAGACTTTTCTTGTATACTCTGTTTCACCTTCCGTCCGAGCACAGCGGACGCTAGGAGCCATCCCAGCCAATGCGGCGTTGAGGGAGTGTCATGCGACCTTGAGCTCCCTGTGTCGCCCCGCCCCACCGGCAGGTCACGCGACTTTCTCCCGGCGCTGGATCGGCTGGGATGGCTCGTGGCGTCCACTGCGCTCGGACTGAAGGTGAAACGGAGTATAGTACTACCTGAATTTGACATGTTAGTTTGGCAACAATGAAACCTTACATACTGTATATTGTGTGTAAGGGCCGCACTCGTGTAATAGCCGCACCCCTAACTTCAAACAAAAAAAAGACGAAAAAAATATATTTAAAAAATGACCGCATTTTACGTGGCGAATGATGTTGATTGGAGCGAAGCTCTGGTGGTGCTTGTCTGTGTAGGCGCTGTGCCTCAGCATGCCGAGCCTTTCGTTCGTTTTCATCCATGTCAGAAAGAGAATGTGTGGTATGGAACGTAGTTATATACGCATTTGAGCATTTGACCGCAGCGCCCTCTCGTCTATAAACGTTGAGCCAATGCATGCAAAGTTTAACGCGATTATATACGCATTTGACCGCAGCGCCCTCTCCTGTATAGACGTCGAGCGGTTCCATGCAACGTTTCATCCATGACATCCCCAGCTCTTGAGTTACTACTACATCTCAGAGTTCCCTACTCGTCCCGCAGTCGTGGCCGAGTGGTTAAGGCGATGGACTAGAAATCCATTGGGGTCTTCCCCTCACAGGTTCGAATCCTGTCGACTGCGCAAACATTTTTTTTTTTCATCATTTTTTTTTTCTACGCGAGCACATGAGCACGTGAGCTCACGAGCACGATCCCGAGCATGAGCACCAGCAAGATTGATGTGAGCACGGACACCAGAAGGACAAGGCTAGACCCTAAGGAGCTTTGCCCCTAAAATTACCCATCTATAGGCTACAACTCCGATTTTAGAATGGCTGGAAGCGCCATCTAGTTCGTAGCGTAAAAAGTCAAGAATGATTTTTTTGTTTTCTCTTCAAGTACTGCCGGAAGATGGCGCCACCCGGTTGCGGCAGCCAACAACATTGAGGCACCCTATCCCGTCTGTTTGCATCTCTCGCTTTTCTAGGACAATCTCGAACCAGACGCAGTGCATCTCTTTGTGTTTGCGAGTACCCCCGGTTTCCCGCTGTCATCCACTTCAGGCTTCTGGATGGGCAAGTACATAAGTTACACGGCCGGCTTTAAACTCAAAGTTGTTGCCTATGCTGCAGACAACAGCAAAAGAGCGGCCGGACAAAAGTTCGACAAATGTAAACGCCGGTGGTGCTCCCAAGATGAACTAAGGAAGACGAAGACAACAAAGCATGCTTTCCGAGGCAGGCAGAGCCTGTTTCCCAAAGTTGAAGATTTGCTCCTTCAATTCGTAACGAGCACCCGGAGCAACGACTACGCGGTTTGGACGGAGATGGCAACAACCGTCCACCAAAAGACACCAATTGGTCGGCTGAAGAGGGCGTCTCTTGTTGAGGTGGGTGACTAGATTCTCAAAGGGTGGGGCACGGTTTCCTTCAATATCGTGGAAAAAAGCTTCAAACTAACTGAAATTTCCAACAAGCTGGATGGCATGGAAGACAACCTCATCTCGGACAGAGACGCTGAGACGAGTGAAAAGGACTTTGCACACCTGCCTATAAAATACCGGCGTTTTCTTGTTCTACCAAGACGTGCGAGTACTTCCATTTAATAAAGGCAAGTAGTGAAACTTTCGGTGCAAAAAAAAAAGGATTTCCAAAACAATTTTCTGTTTTTCTCTGTGTAATGGCCACACCCCTAGTTCTTGCCCAAAATCATAAAATACCTGCGGCAATTACACACATATATACGGGATATGTGGCAATGAAAGTCACTTGTCCGAGACTGAAACAATATGCATTTCTATGCTCAAATGCCTGCGGTAGTAGTAGTAGCTTTTCTTTAAAAATGCCTGCGGTAGGTAGTAGTTTTTCTTTAAAAGCCTCGCCTCGCCTCACCTCGCCTTGTGTCGCCTTGCCTTGCCTTGCTTTGCCCTGCCCCCCTTGCCACACCCGAGTGTCCAGTTTTCTACTCCAAAGAGATTATGGTCACCCTCACAATTCAGCTTTAGGGCAATTGTCCAAGTGCAAGAAATAACTGGAATGTAGCTTCCATCTCACTCCAAAAAGCTACTTGTCTGTACAGGCATTTTTATGTCTTCTTAAATTGGTCTGAAAACCCCCTTTAGACCTTTCACTAAAGCCAACGACAAGCCTGGCGACTACATATATGTAATAGTAAAGAGAAAGTTTTCATTTTCGTAATTAGTGAGCGCGAGGTTGAGGGTCGGGCTGCCAGGCGCAAAACAATAACATGACCATGGGAGCAGCACGTCACCCAACAAGCTCCACTACACTAAGCTGAAACCCTAGAGCAGGAGCCAACAACAAATGAGAAATATCACAGTGCCATTTTTCTTTCTCACTCAAAATTTGTTTCTTCAGCATGTCAATCACGGTAATCTCGTGACCACTACCAACTGTAAAACGCAATTTCTTAGACAACTAGAAATGGCCTACCATGCCATTCAGGCAAAAGAATGACACCAAGCGATCGAAGCATGAACGTCCAAGATCTATAGACAACAAAAACTTGGACAACTAAAATGTCAAGCTACGAAAGTAACCTGAAAGACGTGTCACCATACCTGCCAATATCATCAGACACTAGAAAATAAGGGGAGCATTCCTCATGTTTACTGATGGTCCTTTCCACCGACTGCCCCAGCTCGCTTCAATGTGACCCCAGACAGTATGCAATGAGCAAGCACTCTTCCAAAAGAGAGGTCCCACCGACCTTCTGCGCGTCCTGCTGGTAGAGGCGCAGCTGTAACGCCTGGTCCAACTGCACCTTGCGCACGTGCCAGAGCTGCAGCACATGCTGCCGGGCCACGCGCAGGCTCTCTAGCAGACGCACCACCTGGGGACCCGCCGTGTCCTGGGTCAAGCCGCATCCACTCTCCCGGCCGCCCGAGTAACCAGAATCGCTGCTGCCACCCCCGCTGCTGCCCATGCCCAGCCTGTGCACACCAGATGCTTCATTCGAGCAACCAGACGTCATGCACAGCTGGCGCAATAAACGACAACTAAGCCTCAACCGTTTTCGCTGTTTCGCCTATTCAAAATTTTATGTGCCACTATCCACATCTAGTAAAGAGTCCAAGGTTCATTGCCTTTTGATGCTTTCCGACGATCGAGGTTAGTAATGGACCCTCCTCAAAAGTCAGAGCCCCTGGTGCCAGTGGCACCAACTTATGAAATCTATCATAACTATGTCATCAAGTTCTGGAATCGTGCGGTAGTGTGTTTACCCGTGATATGCTCACCCACTGCTACATGATACATCCTCAAATGCACCAAAAAAGTACAAGATGAAAAACAAAACAAGTTTCTTTTGAAGATACAGGTCAAAGACACATGGTAGGAAGGTATCAGGTCACGCAAATCCAACAGCCAGTCCCCACCTGTGCGTGCAAGGCGAATGTTTCTAGCGTTAACAGCATCCAACATTTAATAGGAGCTCTATTACAACACTAACAGCCCATTAAATCAAGCTCAATGATCATTAATGGCATGTACAAGCCACAAGACCCTGACAAGCACTCCCAGATTCTTGCAAATCTGGCTCCAACGTCCTGGTATTGCACTTGTGCTGCTCATGCAGTGTGCAACAATGCATTTGAGGTCTTCAGGCATGCGTTCTCCACTTAGAGGTTTAAAGACATACACTAAATAGATCATCTTGAAACAGCAACTCATGGGAACAGCACATTTCTTCATCATTGTCGACTGCATGAGCAGTTGTGTGATGGATGTCTTCTTCGTTGCCATGAGCTTGCTCTCAAGAGCCACCACCAAGTAGTCGGAGCTGTGGCAATGTTGATCTGTGGACTATGATCTTGCAACACACTATACTCTGTTTCACAGGTTATTGGGAAGTTTCCTCCAAGGAAACTTCCCAATAACCTCACTTCACAACAACGAAGCTATGCAAAATACTTTATCTGCAGGGGCAATCGTGTCCGTGCTTGTCGTAACGCTGCAAAGAGCTCTTCAAATGGAATATATAAAAAATTTTAGAAAAATAATTTTGCAGTCATGATACTGACACTGGATGACTTGCTTCTGTAGCGTCACTTCTGTAGCAAACAATGCAGTAATGGCGTGGGCATAGCTATCTCATGGTTGCTTGACTGACTATTGAAAACGGTCTATTGGGCATTTGTTTATTAACTCACTTTTAGTCATGCAAAATTACTCCAAAAACGGCAGTGCAAACCAGCGAATATCATGCAGGAAACACTGACCAACAGTTGGTTGATTACTCTTAACATTGTATGATATACCATGGGGTGCTGCATCTAAAACTTTACTATTGCTTGCTGAAGCATTTGCTTCCCATTAGAGAAGAATGGAAAAATGATGAGTTGTTTCTTAACGCACCCACGAGAAGATGTGCCATCTTCATAAATAATATATCCCTTTGTCTGTACGCCTAGTCAGACTGCACTCATCAAGGCATATCATAACATATGACAAAACAAACAGAGGTTAGAAAAAAAAAGTTAAATTTGTGGGTTTTACGTGCCAAACCAACGACGGGCATCTGGCACGCCCCAGCGGAGGACTGAGGATTAATTTGGACCACCTGGGGATCATTTGACGTGCAACCGAAAGCTCGGTTACACGGCGCCTCCTCCGCAATAAGCCTCCGTCAGATTGCGGGCACCTCGGCCGGGATTCGAACCCGCCACATGGGGATCCGTAGGCCAGCGCTCTCGCCTCGGAGCCACTGAGGCGGCTAAACAGAGGTTACATGAGGAAGAGGTTAAACATACTACAGCTGACTCTCGATAATTCGAAGCTCACAGAGACGGTGAAATGCATCAAATTAAACATACTTAAAAAAAATTAAATTTGTTTGTTTTTTATTTAGTACTCACTAGAAATTGACTTTTGGTTGCCTCTGCTAAGGGAGACGCACAGTATTCCGCTAACAAAGACGCGCAGTTTTAATTATGCTCTGGAAGTTGGAAACCCTTCTTAGGACACCCTCAGCAGTTTCTTTGCCAAAGAAAAATCAAAATTGTACTATGCTACCAGAGTTGCCGAACTTCCCGAGCACGTAAAAAAAATCTTTCGAATTAACCAGTCCCAGAGGCTAAACTTCCAATTACCGCACATTTTTTTCCTTAGACTTTCATCTGTAATTGTTGGAACCGCACTCCTGCTTCAAGCTAACCGAAAATTAAAATAAAGAGACTTTGAATTACCGAGAGTCGACTGTAGAAAGACATATACCTTTCAATGAAAACAATATTCTTTACTTTGCATCAATAAAGAACCAAATGTCACACAAAACTATTTGCCCACTACATTCACAATGATAGTCCTTTAAATCATTTCAACAACACTAATGAACATCAGGGCCCTGCCTCCCATACATTCCCAGCTGGGAAAAAAAGAGGACATGCTCACCTGTGCAACACCTGTTGCCCTTCCAGATCTACCTCGTCAACTGGGATCTGCAGGACCCGTTTCTTTGCATTCAGATGGTCCTCGATCATACGTTTGGCGCCGGCAACATCCTCGGCAAACTTGTTGCTTACAAGGTCCTCCTTCATGAGCTCCAAGCGTTCCAGCAATTCACTAGTCTTCCAAAGGAATTTCTCTAAAGCCTAGAACGATCAGGGTAACCCAATCACCACAAATAAAATGGAAAGTGGTCACGCAGACCAGCAGAGCAGTTGAATATAATTAATATATTTTGGGGCGTTGTTTATGCACCAAACCAATGAAGGGAACCTAATACGCCCCAGCAGGGTATACTGTAGATTGAATTTGACCACCTACTATGTATATTTTTCTGCACAACCTAACGGTTACATGGCCACATCTCTGCAATAAGCCATCATGAGACTGCGGGCACCTAGGTCAGGGTTCGAACCGGCCAACTGGGATCTCTGGCCAGCACCTTGCCTCAGAGGCACCAAGGTGGCTCACTAAAGCAACTAAGGACGGTACTTCTTAGAATGGATGCTTGGGTAAGGGCTCCTACAATAAGGACAGTACTAAGCACAGGCATACAATGTAAAAGAATGCAGCGAAAAAAATTCTTCTAATCGATAGATTGATCGGGGTTTTATTGTGCAAGGGTTGCTAAGATCAAGAATTCTGAAGTATTTTGTTTCTAAATATTATCTGCAAGTGCCAAAAATACCAGAAATAAATCAGGGTTTGAAATAATCCCAAGTAACTAGCAAGTCCGAAAGGCTGGTAAGATGCAGGAACTTTGAAATCACATGACAGCAAAAGCAATATACTTTGTACAGCAGAGCCCAACGACAGTATCTATAAAACAAAATATTATTAGCATTAGACAATGCTAACAATATTTTGATTATCAGGTAAGCTGTTGGTTTGTAAAATAGAAGCAGTTTTACAGCAGTAGGTAGACTTGCAAAGCGATAAAAGATAAGTAAACAAATCACTGTTCCAGACTAACTCCTTAGATCATAAATGTTTTACCATTCGAAGTTCCAGCCATTGGCCATGATCATAGGGAAGAGTTCCATCCAAATCTGATGTTAACTGTGATGGGTCAATATACTTTAGCAGTGCTTCTGGGGATATCATGTTTGTCTGGAAGAAATGAGAACATTGTTTTTCTTCACTCCTCACTACCAGCTCTAGAAAAGTAGCACACTTAAAGGGGTACTCCACCGATTTTTTGAGCTACCTCGACTAACTATATTTTCTGACTCCCCGGTCTTTACTCTCTCCGGTATGCTATTTAGAATCGCGAAATTCATAATAGTTATTGCGAAATCGGCAAATGAAAATGATGCAAAAACCAACATTCAAATATACGCGCGCTTTTCAGGGCCGTGACGTCAGTGGCAGGCAGGCTTGCCAGTCGAGCAAGCAGCCAAAAAATAGAATATGCCAATCATCTGTTCCGTTCTGGAGCGCGGGTACTGCAGCGAGCTTCCCAAGCATTCATTTGACACCATGAAACTGCTTCGAATCAGTTTAAAACGAAATCTACAGCCCAAAGAGTGAACCCCTGCCTTCCACTGACGTCACTTTTTCATTGTTGCCAGTAGAGACTTCGAGCTTGAAAAACACGGTGAGGACCAAAACTGTAAATTCAATAACTTCGCGAAAAAACAATATTTTGACCTAATATTTGGGATACTATTTTCGCGATGTTTGTTGGTTAGTTTAGCAAAATTTCAAGCAAATCAGAGACAATGAAAAAATCGGTGGAGTAGCCCTTTAACCCAACAATGGTGAGATACCTTACCCAAGCTAAGAAAAGCGGTCAAAACTTATATTGTACATACCTTATATTTCAATCATGCAAACACACCTCTAACACTTGGCTCTGATAGCAAACCCTTTGCAAAATATTAAAAAAAAACTGATGCCAGTCCCTATAATAAGCTCTATTTAATCTACAATGCATGAACAAGATCAAGCCCCCATGTCACACACAAAATAAAGCTCAAAGAATTCCAAGGTCCCAGAAATAGTTTCTCCTATGGTACTAATAGAATGGTTTGTTTATGTGTAAAAATAGAAAATGTAATGTTTCAAAAGTCATAGGGGCCATAGGGTAGGAAATCTCAATAGAAATATTTACTCCACACAATAATGTCAAACTGTATGCACAACATGTTTAAGAATTATACCATTATGCAGTGCCTATCTTCTTATTGACCTTGGCACACCAAATGAAGACTTTAATGATTTACAAACAAAATTTATCCCTTTACTACTTGAAAGCACCAGTTATTTTCAAGTTCCTGCTCAAACACAACAACGCTGTGAAAATGTAGAACAAATGCAACATACTAAAAAAACGTCCTGATATGCTGCATACCAGTTAAACGAAGGGCACTTTGGAACGAAGGGCACTGTGATCTTCCCCCCCCCCCCCCCCCCCCCCCCCCCCCCCCCACTAATATGTTGTACATTCATTTCAGAATCATCACTGTACACATAGAACTGAAGTAATTAGTAGTCTTCAATTCACATTAAAGCACCCTTACCATCTTTCCTCAGTTTTAGAGGGGCAATGGCAAACATTTTAAATGTTGCAAGAATCTGCAGCGTGTTACTTTTATTTTGCTTGTCTTGGCACAAGTAAAAGAAAACATGGTGATTTTCTCCTGAAAATACCGCGATTCTACCGTGTAATCGCAAAGCAAAAGCCATGTGTGGCGGCCTTGGAAAACCACAGCATGACGTCACGAGTTACACTGTAATGAATTAGCAAGTTGTGCAATTATCTGCTCAGTTTAAAGCTAAGTTTTATAAATCTTGTCGCGTAAATATAAATAAGTCCATCAGAAACCATTTATCGTTGCTAAGAATCCTTCGATGAAGCGTCTGTGGGGCCATCTGCTGGAAGTAAAGAAAAACCTTCCCTCTCCTCTCCACTGCTTACGTCACAAACGGGCAAATATGTGTTCTAACACTTGTTTTCTTGCTCATCCAACGTCGGCTACTGACTGTAGATTCAAAGCAGAAACCTCCGGACCACGAGAAAACAAAGGAAGTTTGTGAGTATGTGCGAGAACCTAAAACGATTCTCTCTGTTCCCCATGGTCAGGCCACTGTGCACGCGACTTGGAAGACGGAGCAAAAGTTGAGGGTACTATACACTTAGGGGTGCCACAAACTTTCATTTGTTTCGTTAAAAAAAAAAAGGAACTCTAGTTGGTTACAAGTCAAGAAGGTAGGAGAAGCTCCTCCCACAAGCGTGATGCGCCCGTTTCAAATCCCTCCGCAGTCGAAAGAAGAGTTCACTGGAAACGCTCCTTGTACCGCTCCAATAGGTAGGTACTAGCTGCAGAGTGATGCAACTTGTTTCCGATCCCACTTGTTAAGAAAGCGACCTTTGTATTCATCGGAGTGGGAACCAAGCACCTGAAAGCAGCCTTTGTATCCAACGGAGAGGGAACCTAATCCCCCAAAGTCGTATTTCTTTCCATCGGAAGGGGAAAACTCTAATTCCCCTCTCGTGGCTTCCACAATGCTAAGTCAAAGTAGAAAGATAAAACAAATATGTACAGCAAGGCAAGACCCTCCTCGCGCGTTGGCCGCAACGTCACAGAAACGATGGGACGCTATTAGATGCGGAGGTGGCGGAGGGATATATGATTCCCTTTGACGGGCATTTGCCGCTACCGTCTAGAGTTGTAACTTACTATAGCACATGCAACCAAAAAATTGTTTACTATCCTTCATTCTATAAGTGTTAGACAACTATTAGGTCAAAGTCTGAAAATCATTGCACAGCCTCTTTAAAGTACTAGTATAAATTATAAAATTCCCAGCTAGTATTTAAGTGCTTGCAGTGAAGGTGCTTGATTAGTAAAGCTTGGTTTGAAAGACTTAGTTGGCTGTAGAATCAATTAATTTCATACAGGTTAATTCTGTAGCACTGACGAAATGCTGCAAATCAGAGCAAGTTGGTTTAAGCCAACTACCAGAGGTTATTTCCAATAGCTGTAAATACCTAGATTAAGAATATAATAAAAACACATACCTCAAATTTGTATTTGGAACTGCCCATGCTCGTTCTCTGCTTCTGCCAGAAGTTATCAGGCTTTATGATGTAGGCCGCATGAATTTTAGCAGGAAAACACTCCTACCAAAGAAACATTTGCAAAATATGACAAATAAGCTGCGGTCAAAATGGAACTTGATGAAAATGCATCACTAAATGAAAAGCTAAATGAACTACAAAATTATCAACAAAAATGGAGTGCATACTCCTATTGAAGACCTCTAAATCTAAAATGTTTGTTTAAAAAAATGGTACAACTGAGATGATTTCCTCGGCAATCATATTTCTCAACAAAACTGCTCGCAATCTTAGACATGAACACAAAATCTTCCTCAATGTCACAGACCTGGAGAACTTTCAGGATTGGTTTGACAACAACCCATGTCGATCCTCGCATGTCGATCACCACTGAAAATCCCAGTTCTCTCGCCTCCTCACTGTAAAAAAACATCACCAAATATTACAAAGCCCTTCTGCACATCACTCTATTGTGTAAATACTAGGTTGTTTGAGACACTTCACCACCCCTTTAACAAAACCTTTTAAAGTGAAAGCCGATAACAAGATGAATGTATTGTGTCCAGCAAACGGAAAACATGAAATCAATTGCTGAGTAATGGATACTTGCTGCAATGGGGGAATGCAATACAAATAGACAATCATGTTGATCATAATTCATGGAAATATGCCGCCAAGCATCGGGTTTCTGAATATGTGGCCATGGAACCAGACACTCGACACATTCGCAAGCACCAAGGCACCTTTGAATCGAGAAAACGCCTCACCAAGGTATGCTGGACAGGTAGGTTAAAACCTTTCGCAATTCCTCAGGCCTTAACTTGTCTGTCCTAGAATTTGCTGGAAATGTGAGAACAGGGCCACCACGAAGGTCTCTGCCACCTGAAAGTACACAACTTATCACATTAGGCTTGTCTCAAGCCCCATATATTTGGATGGGCTATTACAAACCGGCTAGAAAGAAAATTTAACTTCCGAGCTGTAACAGTCAGTGGCCAAATGCAGCGGCAGTTTAGTGATCCAGACAATGCACTGCATTTACATAATGTACCACAATTACATCACTTTAAGATGACTGCTTAGGAAGTTTGTCAAATTATCTCTCTTTGTAATCTCGGTGCCTTTGATCGAAAGTATGGCTGATACAATTCAGCAGCTGAGCTTCCCTGCAGTGCATCTGGGCAATGGTGCAACTTGCTTTTGGTTGCATCAATTTTGTTGCCTCAGTCACATGGATGCACACAAATCTAGACGATTAAAAAACTGTACACTTTTATTTTGGAGAACCTCAGCTCAAATGTAACGAAAACAACAATTTTTATAAAATTTTCACCATGTACGAGATATCTACCTGTGAGTATGTCTATAAAATATTTAATCAAAATAATGAATATATTTATTTCCTTTCGAGAAAATGAATTTTGAAGTTTATGCGTACACCTCCGAATCACTTACTGCCATTCTGCTGGCAACAACGAGAAGGGGCACTCGTGACGTCAAATGTATCCGAGAGCAGACGACACTCCCTACACCACGGCGCTCTGCGTTGTAGTGATAGTGAGCGTCTGTGGTTTTGAAATTGTGTCTGGTTTAGGCAGTTTGTGGCATGCGATGGAGGGTGGGGGAAATTGGTGATTGGCTGCGGGGTGCAATAACACCAGAAAGAAATGCAGCAGAGTGACATCTTATTGATACCTGACCGAGAAGTTTCTGCGACAGAAGTGGGCCCAAGCAGCCCGATGCAAACGTTAGCTCCTAAAGTTTGCGTCGTTTTGGAAAACAGTTCACACCCTGCTAGCAAATAAAACCTTCCAGGCCATTCTGCTTTGAAGCGGCAGCTGGGTTTTCATGTCGGCGGACCGCGAATGCTGCCCCCACGGGAGGTCCACTAGGAGGCGATGCCAACGGATTGAGTGCGAATGGCGAATAGTCTGAAATCTCGTGCTGAAAATCTTAAAACATTTGCTGATCATGGCTTGACTAAGACAAGCTTGATGAATCGTGGTCCTTTAGCGACAGCCTTATGACTGCTTCTGACACTGGGCAAAACAGGCTCGAGCTGCCCATGTGCTGATGTTTATACAACATCTAACATCGCAAACAAGATGGCAGACCAGCAAAGTAGCAGGATAGTTTCGGTTTCCGTTTTATAGTATTTCTAAGATTTAAAATTATTTAAAATTTTCTGGGCAAATTTACTCACTGTTCTAGGCTCAATTTCAGAAAATGTCTAGTAAAAAAAACGTTCCAATTGATGCCGGAGCTCCAACGTTATCGGAAAGAAAGTACACTTCTAATATGGCTTGATCATTGAAATACAAAATGGAGCAAACCAATGTTGAGAGCAAAGAAACATGATTTCTATGTGTTTTTATGTGACCTCTACCTTGATTTCAAAGGTACTTTTCATACGAGTAGCCATTGATTTGTTAAAGTAAAACAAAAATATCACTTTATAGCACTAAAAAAATCAAGTCTCACGAACTGCTCAAAAAAAAATTGTGATGTTGTTAGATTATCACTGCCTAGACATTGTGAGGTTATTAGATTATCACTGCCTAAAACATATTGGTCAGATTCAAATATGGACTACTTATAAGTTATTCCAAGACCTAACTTATTTATTTTATTAATATTGGATGCCCTCTCTTATTATCTTGACAAGGGCCACTACTGTGCCAAGATAGCCTTCGACAATTCAAGTTGATTCATGCAAATAGTTGCTCTTGATAATTGAACATCTGTTCAACTACAAGAATAGTAGAACCAAAATAACAAACCTGTGAGGATAATGAGCCTCTCCTGCAACAGTGGTAACAATTCATGTGCACCTTCCATCATCCTCGATGATCCTGCCAAAAAGAAGAAAAAAAAAAGCATACCAGCTAAGGAAACCTCTACATGAAATCCCATATGGAGGACTGTCACCAATTTCTTGACCATTTGAATTTTGATGTAATGACACAGTCACACTGTAACCTTTCTTCCTTTTTTTTCCTGTACAGGTTGCACCACATATACAGGATGTTATGAATCCTGACGCTTGCTCTAAAGTCGGCTGGAAAAAGCTGAGCCTGCAGGTAGCGATTTCAAGTTTTCATGAAAGGTGTATTGTATGGTATATTTAAAATCATGAAATTTCAAGGTGTAGATTCCTTCCTGTAAAAAAAACAAGAATCAGCATCCACTCTTGACATTGTCAATGCGAGACACGGACAACCTAAATTAAAGTGATTGACGCAGCAAGTGTACGGTGGCCTTATCTGCTTTCGACCGAGCACCATCATCCACTTACTGCACCCACTGGGAGGCAACACCACAAGCACAATTTTTGGTTACCTCAGCCGTCTGCAGCAGAATATGCCGCCGACAATGTCAAGGGTGTTGCTATTTTTTTGCAAAAAGGAAGCTACGCCTCAAAATTTCACAAGGTAAAATCCACCATTAAAAGATGCCTTTGATGAAAATCTGATATTGCCATATGCAGGTGTTGATTTTTTCAACAAATTTATAATGACTCCCTGGATTTATAACACCCTATATAAAGAGATAAAAAAAAAAACATACTTTTTTGCTAAATTTATTTACCATGTATTTTGGCCTGAGAAGACTAATGAAGAACCACAAGAGATAGCCTAAAGGTCTATTCACATGATGCATCTTGTTGGCGAATCTTGTGTCGCGAAACTATGTTTCGGGAAACAGATTCCCCGTCTGAACGCAACCGAAAAAGTGGCGCGCCTCCGAAAAAAGTGGCGCGTGTTTCTCGCTTCTGGAGCAATTTTTCGCTGAAACCTCACCAACGCCCGTCAATCCCCCGAAGGAGAAACGCGGACGCTGCCAATGGCCGCTCGACTTCGCTATGACGTCTTGACCTTCGAGGAGGAGCGAGCTTTTGGAGGAGTCTGATTTTCGGCCGATTCCGTATCCGAGCCGAAAGAAAACAAACAAACATGGCAAGCGACAAGCGGAGAAGCGATGCATACGGGCGACGAGTTTTGGTCCTACTCGGTTGCAGGTGTGTGAACGGCGCCCACAGTACGGATTAGGGGCGCGGTGCAGATTCGTCAACAGTCGCGGCGAGTGCAAGCACCGTATATAAACATGATGACTGGGGATAACGTTCTTTATTAGCGGTGCAAAAATGTCCGAAATGCTTCAAGATCATCTCGCGGTTTTTCCCGGGTTTGGCAGGACTAATAAACCCAGTGAGCCGAATCTGACGAAATTCATTGAGTGGCATTAATAAAACAGGCTGTCTCTTCACACTGTGCGTACTTCATAAAATTTTGATGCGAAACGCTTGGTATTCCCGGTGCAGATAAAAAGGTTTGGCGAAATTCTCGTGAGTCAATACGTCACAGGTTTCGCGCGTCAAACTCCACGTGTGAACAGGCCGATTTCAGGAAATCTTTGTTTCGCTAAACTGTGGCACGTTGAAAAGATGCATCGTGTGATTAAGTGTTAAGAGAGAAAGAAAGAGTCGTAGAAATTCCTATTCATTGTTGTAGGCCCTACTGTAATCCAAATCAAATCAAATTTGGGAGTTTTGCGTGCCAAACCAACGACGGGCATCTGGAACGCCCCAAAGCTGGGAATCTTTTGACATGCAACCGAAATCTCAATTACACGTCTTCTCCGCAATAAGCCTACGTCAGATTGCAGGCACCTCGGCCGGGATTCGAACCTGCCACATGGGGATCCGTAGGCCGGCACTCTCGCCTCGGAGCCACCGAGGCGAGAGCGCCGGTGGCTCCATCACAACTGTAAAGGGAAGCTGAAAGCATTGTCAAACAATATTATCTGTTGCCATTCTCTCTACTCTTTCTTCTCTGGTGTTAATAGATTGATTTCTCCTCATACATCTAGTGTCAAGCTTCTAATCAACAAATGCTAAATAAGGGACACAGGTCTGTATATGTAGACAACAAACGTTTTAATGCCTTACCAAAATTTTATTTCTACCAGGTGAAGACATAAACCTGATTGAATTCCAATTATAATATTTATTTTGACTGTTGTGAGTCTCAGGTAGCAAAAAATACATTGAACAGATTCTAACTCATCAGGTCACTACTCCAGAGTTCAAAATTTGACGAATCGTGTGAAGTTTCTTTGCTCCAACTAGAGTTACAGTTACAACTAGAGTTACAGTTAACCAGTCAATAAAGATAAAACCTTCCAAGTAACTTTTTTTGTTTTTTCCTAACGTTTTTTGAGAGCGCTTTTGCCGAACTCAAGATAGAGAACGTGCACATGTATCGAACCAAAACGGTGAAGTTGGCATCGGTGTCAGTTACTGATGCCATCAATGCAGAAACCCATGGAGTGAATGAGAGAAAAGTCGAACGCTCATCTCTAAATTACCAATCCCACAAGAGTTTTGCAGGGGATCGTTGCCTGCGGATGGAACAAACCAATCACAAGTAACGGGGTGACAAGACGCAAAATAAACAAAAGGAAAAACAGCCGCATGACGACACGTTGGGGATCAGCTTTTCGATGGCAGAAAGGTGAGCTCCCTCTTCTGTCACAAGAATACCATCTAAACAACTGTCGCCAAGCGTGTCCAAGGCTCTCGCAATCACGACCCGTGGTTGCAACACTGGCAGTTGAATAGCAAGGCGTTACACTGAATGGATAGATGATGCCTCCGACGCGGAGGCCGCCGATTTCATGACAGCGAGAAATACTGAGGAGGACTCTAAATATAGACCGGTGACAGCGCCAAACCACGGTAACCAGCACTGTTGAGGATAGCGACACCTTCCTGCTCCGAAGGCCACTTCTCATCTTTTAATAGCAGCACGCCAGAAACACGAACGAGAATCGATCTGACATGTACCGTTAGGCTAGAGAAGAACCCCCAGCGCTCGTTCTACAAACACAAAAGAGCCTCACCGGATTTAAAATGGAATGCGCCGTCGCTGTCGCCCGGAACATCAGAGGATGATTTGGCTGCACTCATCACCTCTTTACGTTCACCGAAACAGCATGGTAACGAGTGGAAAATATAAACCTATCCAATATTGCACTCCCAAAGACCGCATCACCAACCGGCCATGTTTACATCCATGGCCGCTCCGGGCCATTATTGGTCGATAAATCATACACTACACCTCAGACAATGGTCAAATAAAACGCATGGTATAATATATAAGCACATTTATTTATTTTATTGTTAATATAATTATATTTTATTGTTCTAGAAGCATTTATATTAAGGGTCTTTGGCTGCAGGGCACCTCCTTTTTCTCCTCCCCATTTTTCCTCCTCACTTGCTTCTTCCCTGCGCCTCCTCCGCTTGGAAGAAGAAACAAAGAGAGAGAGAAAACACATAAGAAGCACCATTATTGGCTGAAATTTGATGACGTCACGGCCAATAGAAACAAGAGAGTTAGGTCCCGGTGCCCATACCGGTGCCTGTTCAAAGGTTCAAACGCGTTTGATGGTTTCGCGGGCTTGCTGGCTCGCCAAACGAGGGAGTATTTTTGCAAAACGAAACCACGTTCGTGGGGTCGCGCGCGCAATGTCGGATAACGGACGTGCTCCGGAAGTACTTGAAAAATCTCGACAAGGTTAAAACAACAAAATTTGGTGTAAAATAAAGCCCGAAAAAACACCCCCGAATGCAAAGAATGAACCCTGGAAATGTCTAGACGAATGCTTTGTATAATCTGTAGGCAAGTCAACGCTCGATATTCTCGATCGCATAATCATACCTTGTGCTACTACAGGTTTTCCCGTAGTAGCACAAGGTATTTAATCTAAGTGCCACCCAATTTAATTCAAGCGCCACACAATTTAATCCTGGGGTCAGTGAATATATATACGGGGTGTTAATTTTTAATTCGAACAGATTTATTTTAAAAAAGTCCGTAAAACATGCATTGATACGGTTTGTGCAGGTGAGTTATGCGGCCAGGGGGACATATTATAGGCATTATAGGGGCTAATCGTAATGATCAGTTGGCTAATTCATTAAAATTCGTTAATTAACTTTTTAATTAATGAAAATAGAGATGGTTCTAATTAGAAACTTGCACAGCGTCACCGAAAACCACTAAATCAGTCATTTTCAAAAATACTTTGAGCGCGTGAGAAGCGTAGTAGTGCACTAAAGTTACGACTCGTGGAGCAGGTACAAGGCTGGGGCTAGATAAGAGACGGAAAAATCGCGCGGGCGCCTTACCGCAACCGCTAGCTTTGTATCTGCTCCACGAGTGGTAACTTTAGTGCACTACTACGCTTCTCACGCGCTCAAAGTCTTTCTGAAAATGACTTATTTAGTGCTTTCCGATGACGCTGAGCAAGTTTCTAATTGGAACCATATGTCTATTTTCATTAATTAAAAAGTGAATTGTCGAATTTTAGTTAATTAGCCAACTGATCGTTACGATTAGCCCCTATAATATGTCCCCCTGGCCGTATAACTCACCTCCACAAGCAGCCTAAGTGTAACTTTCACGGCTTTTTTTTTTTTTTAAATAAATCTGTTCGAATTAAAAATGAACACCCGGTATATATATATACAGGGTGTTTCAGAAAACGCAGGCCAAATCGTTCCTGCGAAAAATACTCATCGTAACGAAAAAAGGCTTGTGGCGTTGTGGTCCTGGGCAGGGCCGTACCCAGAAAAAAATTTCGGGGGGGGGGGGGGGGTTTCGGGGACAACGGCGGCCATTTTGAAAGTGTCTATTGTCTTATTTTCGCCTATGAATCATGTGCATCGGTGGCATATAATGGAGAGTTACAGCAAACCGGAGAACCGGTCCCGGTTTGGCACCCGGTAGCCGACCGGCGCCACTGCGCGTGCGCAGAGGTGGAGATTAAAATCGGCTGGCTGCCAGTGCACCGACTAGGGCCATACCCAGAAAAACATTTCGGGGGGGGGGGGGGGGGGGGGGGGTCAGAACCCCCAACCCCCCCCCCCCCCCCCCCCCCCCCTCCCTGGTTACAGCCCTGGTCCTGGGCCAGGGGCCCATTTAAGAAAATTATTAATGTCCGGGATAATTAGCTTGTTAATTATTTTTGCCTAATTAACTTTTTTAATATTGTGTTTAAGGGCATGGTTTAAATTAGAAAATTGCTCAGCATCATCGTAACCACCAAACCAACAAACTGCAGAATGATAGAAGGCACGCGAAGCATTTTACGGCTTTCTGAAAAACCACACAAATTCGGCGGCTGTTTAAGTTTCGGTTTGTTATCGGAGCGCATCTCCGCCCCGACGGCACCGCGCCCCGCCGAAGAGAGTGCAACCAGTGCAACCAACCGCTGCTGCGCTGTCATCGCGCGACGCGGTAGAGTTGGTAGAGTCTGGCTGCACTATCTCTCCACGGGGTGCGGTGCTGCCGGGGCCGAGATGCGCTCCGATAACAAAACGAAACTTAAAAACCCGTCGAATTTGTGCGGATTTTCAGAAAGCCAGACAATGCTTCGCGTGCCTTCTATCCTTCTGCAATTTGTTGGTTTAGTGGTTTTCGATGATGCTGAGCAATTTTCTAATATAAACCATGCCCTTAAACACAATATTAAAAAAGTTAGTTAGGCAAAAATAATTAACAAGTTAATTATTCCGGACATTAATAATTTTTTTTAATGGGCCCCTGACCCAGGACCACAACGCCACAAGCCATTTTTCGTTGGGATGAGTAGTTTTCGCAGGAACGATTTGGCCTGCGTTTTCTGAAACACCCTGTATATATATATATATATATATATATATATATATATATATATATATATATATATATATATATATATATATATGTATATATATATATATATATATTACCTGAAGCTACTAGTCCCACTTTTGACGAGACGTAACTGATTACTCTTTTTGTAACCTCGAGTTATTGTGGCGCACTCGAATTTATTTTAGTTGATTTAGATGATAAAAGTACAATTGCAATTTTTGATTACTCTTTTGATTACTTCGTGTGTTTTTTTCTCCAGTTGATCTATATAATGAACTCAGTTGACATTATTATTACCCTTTTGATTAGTTCGAGCTACTTTTAACCAGTGGCGTCACGAGGGTCAGCGGCACCCGGGGCGGCAGCCCTCCGCGACAAACCCCCCCCCCCCCCCCCCCCTTCCCCCCGCTCTCGTGGCTAGAGCCTCCCTACTCGTGGCCCGCCGCGACAGCCCCCCCTAAGCGCTGCAACCGGGGCGGTCCATCCACCCCCCCCCCCCCCCCCCCCCCCTTGTGACGCCGCTGTGATTACCCTTTTGATCGGTCTGAGCTGCCATTGACCCAGTACACCAGTCTGCTTAATTGACAGTTTGATGACTATCTTGATTACTTTGGTCATTATACAGCCACTTTCATAATTATTAGCTAAATTATTAATTTGATTACTTTTTTGATTACTTCTATTACTTTTGAGTTATTTTATACTTCAATTTCAACTATCACGGACACCGGCGTCGTCGGACAAGAAGTCCTTCCAGTGAGGTCGTTTTAGAAGTCGTCCTTGAGGTCGTCTCAGACGTCATCCTTGAGGTCCTCCTAGACGTTGTCCTTGAGGTAGTTCTAGAAGTCTTTCTTGAGGTCGTCCTATAAGTCGTCCTTGAAATTGTCCTCGAGATCGTCTTAAGGCCCGTTCACACTCTTGCGACTGCTTGCGACCTCTTAAACCTGGGTTCCTTAAAACTTGTTAAACCAGAAAACACACTGGCGCCATCTATTGGGAAGCAGTGTAAACTCGGCGGTCCGGCATATTTTTTTTTTATTTCTCGAGCATTATCCTTTCTTTCTTGGCTCGAAAAACTTTTGTCAATGTTATAAACGAGCCTTTCTATGGGTATTACGCACATTTGACCTCGGAAATCCCGCAAAACCTTCGCTTTTGTGAAATGCAGTTCTAGGGTCACCGCATAGATGGCGCCACAATGTCAGTGTGTCCCCTCATTCTAGAAACATTTAAGAAGTTGTAAGAGATCTCGTCTCTCTCAGTCGTACTCGGTCGCAAGAGTGTGAACGGGCCTTTAGAAGTCGTTCTTGAGGTCGACTTACAACGTCCTTGAGGTCGCCCTCTAGGCGGCATCCTTAAGCCCTGCAATGACTTTTTTACTAATTTTTAATTTGCACCGAACCTGAGCGCACTGAACGTAGTAACTTAGTGAAAATTTTCTTTTCTCGAAATTCCCTTTATTTTAAAAGTTAGAGGCAAATTAAAATTACAAGAACAAGCAAAAATAAACCTCCCTCATGACGTCCTTGGTTGCTTGAGAGTGGCTGTGAACCATAGCCGTGAACCAGAGGAGGGGTAGTGAGCTCATCGAGCCCTCACGGCTGCCGCACTCCGCGTCGACGGCGCGAGAGGGCGCCATTGAAGCGTGTTCTGGATAAGCTGTGTGCAGCGGGCAGCCAGACCGGCTCTCATTGCATTTGCTGCGCGATTAAATACCAATTCGGCATGACACTTCATTGGCCACAAACGACAGCAAACACAGGGTAAAGATCAGTTCAGGATTGGAGCTACTTTGCGCTGCCATACCGTGAAACGGCCAAACCGCAAGACAAGCTTCTCACCGAAGGCCTTCGGAACGCTCGGAGCCGGTTGGATCCTCCTGCCCAAACGACCGCAGCGCCACCCGCGTACATTCGCGGGACCTTTCCGTGTCCGGCGCCTGATCCCACTAATCCTTTCTAGTATGCGCCGCCTCCTCCACCACTTGGTGGCGGGTATGTCGACGGGTCATTTCTTGTTTCCATACTTTATGAACTGCATTCGTTTCTTTTTTTACCTAAAATACTGAACAAAAACTACTTTTATAAATAATTGAAACGGTTCGCGCCACTTATATTTTGTATTTCGACTAAAAAGAAGCTTTTAGCGGCTCTGACCAGTAGTAAGCACAGGACCAAAGACGTCACATTTTGTGCGCTTTCGGTACCCGCGGGTCGCCCTCGTCGGAGGAGGAGGTTTCCGCGTCGTCCGGTTAAAATATGACGCACTGATATTTAGTTACTCTCTCCGTGCCCGCTGGCTTGCCCGAACCCCAAGAGACGTGGAAACCGCAAAAAAAGTGGACGCTTAAATATGATTGCAGGGCCCCTTTAA